GTTCCAGGTCCTGCCGATCCTGGGCCGATTCGTGTTTTTTTTTACTTAATTTGAATAATTAATCATGCTCAAGTTGAGCGAGCAGGCGAGACATAGGCAACCCTGATCATGATTTACAATTAAATGCCGTAATGTTGTTCCTATTTTGATTGCCAAAATGTTCTAATTATGATTGTTGATATGAATTATTTAAATGAAAGTGCTACATCTGTGCACGTTGAATACGGTGTCAAGATCTGCACCGTTGTGCATATGTGGGCATTATAGCGTTGCAGTCTATGGGGCTGTCCATAAATGACGTCACGCATCTAGGGGGGAGGGGTCAGACATTTGTGACGATGTGTGACGAGGGGGGGTTTGAGAAATGTGACGTCACATCAAAATGCGCAACTTTCAATAAATATAGACAACACGTTCTACTTAATTAAATATACTTTTTAATAAATGTCTTTTCCTACAACATCAGAGTGCAGCGGCACATTAAATACGCACTACAATGACAATACTTTAAAGCGATTTGAAGCATGTTTTATTTTTTGGGTGGGGGGGGGGCAGAGCTTTGTGACGTCACATTTGAGGGGGGGTCTGACTTTTTGTGACGCCGTGTGACGAGGGGGGAAGGGTCAAAAATCGTCCAAAATCGCGTGACGTCATTTATGGACGGCCCCTATATGTGTCTTGCCGTCTTTCGTACAGAACAGTATTTAATGATGGCAAACACGAAAATGTAATGCATTGTACGTTTTGTGTTGTTCTAAATGTAATTTCACTACTTTGCAATCGGGGCGATCGGTATTCTAATTGTAATAGCCGTGCTGCGTGCTATAAACTTTTCATAACGTAGACTGTTGTAAAGCAATGCGCATGCTTCCATGTGAAGTATGGGAATTGACGGCAGGAACTTCTTGACGGGAACACACTTTTTATTAAATCTTTACGTGTCAAAATACAACGTGTAGTCTCCTTTCTTCCGACTTCACACTCCACTACTCTCGTGTAAACTCTAGGCCTCTGGCTACACACGATACCCTTCACTCGTGTAGACCCTATGCCTCTGGCTACACCATACACTCGACTCGTGTAGACCCTATGTCCCTGGCTACACAATACACTCGACTCGTGTAGACCCTATGTCACTGGCTACACACACTCGACTCGTGTAGACCCTATGTCCCTGGCTACACACACTGCATTCGGCTCGTGTAGACCTTATGCCTATGGCTACACACACTACACTCGCCTCTGGGTTACACAGAGTCCCGGTCCCGTTAGGACAGCGGGACTAGGTACCGCAGGGCCCTAGGTCTTCATCCCCGTCTTCATTCTTCGCTGGTTACACACTCCCCTCACGCCTGTGTGCATCCCCTTTTATAGCCCCTGCTCACGAGAGGCGGAGCTGATGCGTACTTCAACGTGAGCATCGCTCCTTAATGAACCAATCACGACGCACTCTCTCTACGATCCGTTTTCCCCAGCGCGTGTTAACACTCCTCCACCAATCACACCGCGCTGCCACCCGATCACTCCCTCTCAGCACGTCACCGGTCCACAGCCAATCAGTACCCCGTAACCCACGACCCCGCGCTGACCCCTGATCCTCCACCGTCAGCGCACGTCACCACCTACACAGCCAATCATTACGCGCTGGCATACGATCTCTAATCCCAGCGCGTATCACCTCTACATCACCCCCTCCCACATAGCTTGCAGCCGGCCCGGCTGTTAACCAACAACACAACCTAACGTCAATGCAGTAACAAAGAAACTCCACCTCTCAGTGTGCCCCGTAACGCAACAACAACAACACAACACAACACTTAAATATGAAGCAATATACAGCCCGACGAACAACACAATAAAAGCGAACACCGGAAAACGAACACAATAAAAGCGAACACCGGAAACCGAACGCGCCAAGTGTCTCTGTGACTAAACGCAGTGCCGAGGCGCTCCGGCTGCCTCGACTCCTCACGTGGCAGGTCACACAAAGTAGCGCGACCTAGCGCGAGTCCGTCTGGCCGGTCCGTCGTATGGGACGGGACGTTGGCGACCGTCCGGTGGCTCCGGCCGCTCAAGATCCGGCCGCCGGTGGTCGGCAGCTGTCAGTTCCGAGACACCGGGGTTTGCAGGGACGACTTGGGGCCTTGGTCGTCGTCCAGCCGAGGTCCCATGGCGCGCTGACGTGGGGCGCGGCAACCGGAGGCCACGTGGCCCCGGAGGCCGCAGTTATAGCAGGTGATGACAGTCGTCGGAGATCTCGGTTGCTCCAGCTTGCGAGCCGCTCGCAGAGGCGAACGACCCCCCGATCTCCAGTCCCCCGGTCGTCCCGCGATGAACGCCTCCTCTCGTGGGCTGACGACTTGGGGCACGGTGACAACTGGGCCCGGAGTTGAGGCCACGGCAGCGTTGCAGACGACTCCCTGTTTACGTTGAAGGACCTCGTGCGCTTGTATGCTTGTGGCGACCCGTAAGGATGAAATATCGGTCTCATCGGCCGTGTTGATGGGGACCCCCAGGTCCTGCGCCAACTTGAGCAGCTGCTCCAAAACCATGGCATCTTGGCCCTCCTCGTCCATACGAGGGAACGCGGCGTCGGCGAGAGCAAGCAACGCCGTGCGGTAGGCGAGCACGGTCTCCGTGTCCGCCTTCCGTCTTGCATAAAAATGATGGCGGCACGCCGAGGGAGGACCATAGACCTTGGCCATGAGAGCTAGCGCATCCTTGAGCGTGGAGCGGTCCGACCTGCGTGCGGACGTGAAGGCCGCGAGCGCGTTGTCATCCAGCATGGCAGGCAGTGCCCGCAGTGCCGTAGCGTCGGACCAGGCGGACATCTCCTGATGCGCCAAAAATCTGCGCTGAAATTGGCTCCAATCCCCGCCTTCCGCCTTGAAGGCTGACAACGTGGGAAGGCGCTGCTGAAAGATGAAGTCGTCCTCCTCCTCGTGCTTCCTCTCTGCCGCCCCGTCGGTGTGTAAGATGGCGGCCCCCTCGGCGGGTGTGTGATGGCGGTCCGCCGCGCGCGTTGGTGACGTCAGCGGGCGCGCATGGAGAACCGCTGCCACGTGGTGATGGCCGTTCCCGCCAAAAGTCGGTGCAGATGAAATGGCGGCCATCGCCAAATCGTTTTGGCGGGAATCTGCAGGGCGACCCTGCAGAACGTCGGCCGCCGTTCCCGCTCCTCCCGACGAGCTAATCTCCGCCAGGATGGACGCGGCGGCGAGCAGCAGCTCCGCCAGACGGGAGTGCGCTTCGCGAAGCACGGCATCAGTCCCCCGTCGCTCGTCCGGCGCCGTCGGCGGATCCTGCCCCGTGGGCAACTCCTCTTCCTCACCCCCCGATGCCAGCTGGCCCGCGTCGTCGAGGTTGTCCCCGTGGTCAATCCCGTGGGTCCGACGGTTCCTCCTTGTATCCATGCTTGGAAGACCGTTTCACTTCTGACGCCAGTTGAAGTATGGGAATTGACGGCAGGAACTTCTTGACGGGAACACACTTTTTATTAAATCTTTACGTGTCAAAATACAACGTGTAGTCTCCTTTCTTCCGACTTCACACTCCACTACTCTCGTGTAAACTCTAGGCCTCTGGCTACACACGATACCCTTCACTCGTGTAGACCCTATGCCTCTGGCTACACCATACACTCGACTCGTGTAGACCCTATGTCCCTGGCTACACAATACACTCGACTCGTGTAGACCCTATGTCCCTGGCTACACACACTCGACTCGTGTAGACCCTATGTCCCTGGCTACACACACTGCATTCGGCTCGTGTAGACCTTATGCCTATGGCTACACACACTACACTCGCCTCTGGGTTACACAGAGTCCCGGTCCCGTTAGGACAGCGGGACTAGGTACCGCAGGGCCCTAGGTCTTCATCCCCGTCTTCATTCTTCGCTGGTTACACACTCCCCTCACGCCTGTGTGCATCCCCTTTTATAGCCCCTGCTCACGAGAGGCGGAGCTGATGCGTACTTCAACGTGAGCATCGCTCCTTAATGAACCAATCACGACGCACTCTCTCTACGATCCGTTTTCCCCAGCGCGTGTTAACACTCCTCCACCAATCACACCGCGCTGCCACCCGATCACCTCCTCTCAGCACGTCACCGGTCCACAGCCAATCAGTACCCCGTAACCCACGACCCCGCGCTGACCCCTGATCCTCCACCGTCAGCGCACGTCACCACCTACACAGCCAATCATTACGCGCTGGCATACGATCTCTAATCCCAGCGCGTATCACCTCTACACATGTATTGTAGGGTCAACGGTTGACGTAGGCAAGTGATCATTGTCATCTCTACAGGGTCATACAATTTGTACCAAGTAGTCAGTGGTTGTTAAAGATGTTCCCTGGCATGAGTGAGAATGCAGAATTTCGACTGGTTGGAGATGAGCTCTGCACAATGCCCGTAGGAGCATAGAGACATTTTGCCAATCCACTGCTGGATGAGGGCCTCCCCACGCCGTGCTGGTTGTGGAGGCCGTTTGACCATACTTCACCCCGGCTGGTCAGTGCGGATTGTTAAGGCGGCCATCATAGTGACGATGTTTACACACCGCACTAGGGAATCATTTTGAGGCTGAGTCGACCTAGGGGAGGCCCAGGACGGGTTCAGATAATCACTGGTGTTGGCCGTGAGCAGGAATCAAACTCGGGTCGCCATGTTCATAGGGCAGTATGCTAACTGCTACGCTACCACTCCCTACACACACATGTACACACACCACACTATGTACGGTGCGAAAGAAGTTAAACGTACATATAGTAATCCGTTAAGACGAGACGAACCCAGGGCAGTCCCATACCAGGTTTACATGTGCCAGTTGCCTACAACTCGCATGGCGAGGGGAGATTGAACCCAGGTCGCCCACAATCTTAGGAGCAAGCACACAAAAAATCCCACTGCTCCACTTCGCTCCACCGACACAATTTATAAATACTGTATAGACAAGAATAAAACCGTAAACATTAAATATACGCACACGCATATACAAGTTAAAGTGTTTAAAAAAGGTTTATTTGAAAAGCCATTTTTAGTGAAATTCCTAACAACTACAAGAAAGCCAGTACATGAGAGGGAGAGACAGAAACAGGAAGACGGAGGGAGGGAGAGAGAGACAGAAAGGAGGGGCAAATGATGGACAGTGAATGAGAGAGAAAGAGACAGACAAGGTGAGACGTAGAGAAAGGTGGACCGGAGGGCCAAAGGGAGATAGAGAGACAGAGAGGTGAGAAGAGAACAGGTCAATAATTGTCCCATTCCACCAAAATGTATATGACAGTTCGATAGTACATTAAAACTCACAGCACACTCCACGCCAATGAACTTAAATTACATTCAATTAACTTAAATTAACATCAACAACAAGCGTATAACTTAAATCTCAAACACATGTGCTTTCAAAATCGTTAATAATAACAACAAATTAAGTTAATAGATAAGTAGTGTACGTCTCAATTCAATATCCGTCGGTCAATTTGTCATGGTTTGTTTTGCTACTGAATGCTCTGTGGTTAACGTGTCACGATTGAACACAATCTTTAAGGCCCTTTTTGGGTTGCACACAAACCCAGGCCAGACCTTTCTTACTTAATCCTTCGGTCCTCGTGTTCATAAGGGATGAAATGCTGTCTGCCGTCACGATTCATTGATCATCTACTCGTTTTGTCAACCAGCTGGACCTGTTTGGAGTGTTCGATGCAATGTGTGGAAATGCCAATAAATTGGTAAACAGCTTGGACCAAGAGATTTACATTTTTTTTATTTACTGACGGGAGGTGTATTATATTTTTATGAAAAGCCATACTCTTTGCCTTTCATACACCAGGAGTTATTAGCCAAAACAATGACGATGCGATTGTTATAATTCTGATACAGGACATGCCAACTTAATGGTCAAAGTGTGAAAACTGGTAAACGTGGATTGAATTCATAATTGATTTAAAAATTTCGATTTAAAGCTTTCGTGACTGCATGGATTCATATTCTTGGTTCTTTCGGTAAAGTCACGAGGACGGCTGCTTGCGTTGTGGTCGAAACGTCGTGAGAATTTTATCTTATTATGTTTTATATTTATTATTTTATTATTTCCCTTCTACGTGACTTTACGGAAAGAACCAAGAATATAAAACATAATTGATTTGTTCGGTCAGATCGTGCATTTAAAATGTGTGCCGTAAACCGTCTACCTCTCAATGTTGCTACATGTGAGATCGTTATTTAGGTCTGCATGAGAGCCTGGGGTCCTAACCCTCGTAGTGCTGGTTCAGTTTCCCTGAGCCATCCAAACACTGTGAATCCGAAGAGACAAAACAGACAGCATTACTCCCCTCTCTTAAACTAATCTTGTGCCCAAGCCACTGATTAATCGTGGTCACCGATGACGCAAGCCATTTCGAACGGTTCAGTGAGACATTCATTTATCCAGTTAAATCAGCTTCTTCCAAATAAGAACACGTTGTGTAAGCCAACCTCTCGAACCATCAATTTACGGTGTACAATCGTATAACACAACCCAGTCAATAAATTCGTTGTATGACATTCTGCAAAAGCTGGTCTGTCTGAAAGCATGGGTGGAATGAACTGAGCTGCGTCAGGGCTTGCAAAACAAACCGCATCAATTTCCCAGTAATTTCCCTGTATTCACATAATTTCCCTGTTTTCCTGTATGTCCCCCCCCCCCCTGAATAAAAGTCACGTAATTGTCAATTTCCAGTGAATCCCACTCGCAAGGATAAACCCATTCCAGTCAAAAGTTACACACATCCCTGGGTCAGTTTCTCCCAAGCTTGCGTGCACATGGTGAGGTTAGCTTTTCTCGACACTAGTCCTCTTATAGTTTTCCAGTTTTAACTGTGCTGCATTTTCCAGTGAAACTACCACTGACAGAACCCACTCGTTCCTACAACGCCCCACACATTACAATGATAATTATTACAGGTATTATTATTCGTGTTACAACAGTGCCAGATATATAGCTTAAGTTGGTAGAGCAGGTGAGTTCCCAAACTGTACGATTGGGAGTTCAAATCCGATCAAGGAGCAGACACATCATTACCACCACCATAATTATCATCACTCCGGGCACAGTGGTATGGATATCACCGAAAGTATTCGAAAACACCATCTTACCACTTGTTTTGCATACAGTGCCAAAGCATAGCCGATTACAGTCAACATATCCAACAACGCACAACTGTTCTAAGAATGGGGGTCTATGCAGGGGAATCATTGTATAAAGCTGCTCATTGGTACCGATTGATGGACAACCATGGAAGTTTTGAAACCAGACGAGGGCCCATAAAAGAGAGGACAGCTCTTTGCAAAGCGACTCAATACGTTGCATGACCATCCCACAATGCACAGCGGCACTCACGGGGTCATGCCTGGGAAGCAGTGTGAAGGCTATTTTTGCTTTTGTGCTTTCGGACAATAATAATTATAACAATATGACCATCAGCATCATCCTCCTCATCGATTGCTATTGTAATCAATAATATATAATTTCAAAAATAACTTATATAACAACAAAAACCATGTAAATCTATAAATACTACACAACAAACACATTTGAAACCTGTATGGAAGCATAAGTTAGAAATTATTTATATTAATTGAAAATAACTAACTCGTTAAATTTTGGAAGCATTTGCACTTTCAACGAGAATCGATCCTTTGCCGACAGAACAAATCGGTCGTAAATAAATAAAAAGTGTGCACTTTAGCCCTGTGGTGTCTTTTAAACGAGCCTTCACGGAGACTTGGGAACGGCCTGATTTAACCTCGCCTCCTCACGCACATGTGAACAATGCGAGCTCAAAGTGTGTGTGCGTGTCCATGCACCCCTGAACACGTGAGCTGTGCGCTTGGCACACCAGAAATGCAGCTTCCATTGGAGGTCCATGGGCCACAGCAGAAATCTGTACCACCTCAGGCAGCATACACTTGAACAATGACAATGTCAACTCATGTGGCGCACAGTATTCGCTGGCTCTCGAAGCGAGAGAGAACAACTCGGAGGCGCCAGGACAGGAGGAACCAGGGACAAGTTGGGAGGGCAGCAGCCAGGTGGTAACCTGGTGCCAACAATTGTCCAAGCTCTGCGGTCATCTACATATAAAGATGTTTCCAGCCAATTAAAAAAAGTGTGTACATGTGGGATGAAATCGCAGCGATCGGAGAAAACTCACGCGTCCGAGGGGGCAACACTGTCCCAAACAGATGGAACAGGTGGAGTCCACATTTTTGTAATAATGATTTATATACATGGCCAATAGTGAATTACTTGATATCCACTCTCTTTTACAATAGGTATTATTTGAAAAAGCACTGTTATTGGCCACACAAAGGAATTTGAACTGAAAGAGATATACCATCAAAGGTGGTAACGACATGTCAAATATCTTCCTTGGCTCATGGACTACCAATGAATCGAATCTGTAAATGGCGAGAAACCTCATCGTTACAGACTATGCCATTCTGATGAGTACGAATGACAGAACCAGTCTAGTTTTCTCTTTATAGTTCTTCAGGAACTGTTGTTTTTTGTTTGCATAATGTACAAAGGCCGAGTGCTCTTTGTACACACCTTTCTGCGCGTCCTTGGAAAATCCCGAAGCCAAAAAACTGATAGCCATGGTCGGGCACACATCATGCAGTCCATTGGTTTATACTCGGCGCTAGCGGACCGCATTGAGATCATGCGACAATGTATAGACATTTCTCTTTGTTGAGTGGTAAATTCAAGTACAGATAAAAATACAGTTAGTATCAAGGATGCATCCAGTTTTCAGAGTCGGGTCACATCTAAGTGTGCCTGATGAACTTATAATTGTTGTGGCACTCATCTCTGCTGGTTGTCCTGAACCAGTGGTGGAAAATGTGGCACATTTCCACGCTGGGGACCTTCATTATCTGTAAGGATGACCGATGTTGGCTTCCTGTAAAATAGTACTTATCGACCCCTTAGGGACGATGACTTTAGCCTGGCCAGGATATGAAGCTGCAACTTTTTGTTTTCCCGACTGTGCTTTGAGCACTCTTCAAAACATTTCACCTGGCTAGATAATCATTAAGATTTGGTTGCAAAATAACATTGGTTGCAAAATCGCGCGACATTTTCCAGTGAACACGTGCCCACGTTGGGCCAACACGTGCCAACGTTTGGCTAACGTTGGCCTGTGGTTGGAAACGTTCAGGAGTGCTTCGGGTGTAATTGCTTTGTCTCAGAATGAGCGATCCGACTGTGATTATCGGAGGCACCGGTTGATGCGTGACGTCGATGAAATGAAATAATCTCCCGTCAGTGAGGTAATAACCGAGCCACGAGCATGCGGATCAGGTGCACGCTCAGCTCCCGTTGCCTGTGTTAAACACCAACGTGAAGGCTCCATTAATGCCTGGGCCGGGCCAGGGTGTCATAACCGTCGCGTGCCATCTTCTTCTTCTCCTCTTTAAATAAACGTAAAACAGTTACAATGCACAAGTCACTCTTTCCTGATTATAGCCTCAAACCAACCAAAAACTGAAAACTTAAAATATTCAAAACCGTCTTAACACCATTGCATCACGCGAAACCACATTCAATAAAGTCTGCATATTACATAAATTAGCATACATTTGCATACATTATATCCAGCTCAAAACAGCGGGCGAGCGATCGCATTGGCCGGCTTAAATTATCGTCACTTTTGCATACATTAATCTGAGCTCTCCCATTGGCCAGCTCTGCATCGTTTTGCATACATCGTGCAGCCCGAGTCTCGGCGATCGTTCCGATTGGCCGGCACGCCATTAAATCAACACATTTTATTGTTTGCATCCACGAGCAACTCCCTCCTCCTCACGCGCCGCACCATCGGCTGGCATAAATTAGCATAAATTTGCATACACTTCCTACAAAAAGTTTTTTTTTAATGAGGCAAAGCACGCTCACTCCGCCTCCTCGATTGCCCCCCCCCCCCCGCCTCCCCCCAGCCTGTTAGCGATGTGCGCACCGTGCACGACCCACAGCGCACCCAAAGGTGCAAAGGTCGCGCTGATCGTCGACATGTGTGAGCTGTGTGAGCTGTGTGAGCGCGCATTGTTTTGCCCACGGCACGCCTGCAAGTAAACACCTATTGCATATTCTCACGTCGTAATCGATCCCCAAGTAAAAGTCCCCCCAAAAAAGTTGTATTCTTTTTTTTTTCTTCCAGATTTCATCGTTGAGTCTTTGTGTGTGTGTGGGGGTGGGAGGGGGGGGTTTACACGTATCATATAACCCATTACACACAACATGCGTGTGTAAGCTTTTCCCTGCATGTGTTGGTTGGCTATAAACTCGTTTCGATCGGTTTGTTGATGGGGAGGGTGGGGGGGGGTTTGTTTTTTGGAGATTTGGGCTGCTGCTGAGGCGGCGGTGACGATTCGATAGGGGGGCTACGACGACGCACTCTGCACGACGACGGATTCCACAGCGACCGACGAGGAGGATGACGAAGGCGGAGAGGCTGCCGACGACGGCGACGATGACGACGAGGAGGACGGCGAGGAGAAAGAGTTGCCATCGTGCTCGCCCCTCAAGGAGTCATCTTCCACAGTCGCTCGCACGGCCGCGTTGTTCTGCTCCCCCTCCTGTTGCTGCATGCTGCTCAGGAGGTTGCTGCTGCTGCAGTTGCAACTGCTCGTGCGGTAGGGGCTGCTGCGGCTGCTGTTGTGGTTGTACGCGCTGATTCTGCTGCTGCTGGCGTTTGTCGCTGCTGCTGCTGCAACTGAATCATCTCGCACTGTTGCTTTAGCAGCTGCTGCTGCAACAGTGGTTGGTGTAACTGCTGCTGTTGCTTTTTCAATGCCACCACATCCTCCTGCTGCTGCACAACATTCAGCTGCTGCTGCTGTAGTCTCCCACGCAGCTGTTGGCCCTGCTGCTGCACCTGACGTAACAACCCAGCCTGCTGAACCGTCAAAAGCTGGGGCCGTACCACCAGCGGTTGAAACTGCTGCGTTAAATGCGGCTGCTTCCACTGCCACTCCAGTTCCAGCGCACGTTGATGCTGATGCTGCTGATGCTGTTGATTTTGCGATGGCAATCGTGTTACCTGCTGCTGCTGCTGCAATGACAGCTGTTGCAACAACTGCTGCTGCTGCGGTTTTATCGGAGATTGTTGAGGTTTCATCGGAGATTGTTGCTGGATTCGAGTTGGGTTGGTGCTCACGAGGAGGTGAGGGTTGCTCTGGTTGTTGTGCGGGTACGAGAGGACGATGTTGCTGTTGCTGCTGTTGCTGCCACTGCTGCCGCTGCTGCCGCTGTTGTTGCGCTGGTGGCGCCGGCGGTGGGACTCCATCTGAGCGGTGCCCACGACGGCGTGGCCACAGCCGGCGACGGCGCAGTGGAAGTGCGAACAGCGTAAGCGGTAGCGACACTCGATGACAACCAACGTGCTTGGCCCTTCAACGACAGCAGCAGCAAAGGTTAAAATGTCATCATTTGCGTGAGCGGCTGAAGCACTGAGATCGGCACTTACAACAAACTATATTATTTTATAAAGGGAGAGAGAGTTTGGAAATAAGACGAACGATCCTCACCGTTATTTATGGCGCTGGGATTTCCGCCGCCGATGCCACCGTTGTCGCCGGCCGTCTGGCTCGCCACGCACCCGGCCCGCTGCCCTGCGTCAGGGGCTCACGATCGCGATGGCCGCGACAGCATCACCCGTTGGCGCAACCGTCCCCCCCCTGTCGCCCTTCACCACCGCCACCTCCGTCGCCTCCGCCACCTCCGAACGTGCGGCATCTTCACCATCGACTTCCGGTTTCGGCAGAGCTGGTGGATTTTCCGAGATGTTCCCACCCAGAGCATCGCTCGCCTCCTCAGGATCTATGGGACCTGGACTGGTAGCGGCAGTGGTGGTGGCTGCGGCGGCCATCACCCCTCCATTCGCCGTCGCTTCCTCACTCCGGGTGGCTGCCATCCTTTCTGCTGGATCTGTCGCGGCCGCGGCAGCTGCTGCCACCGCTGTCAGGATCGCGGCGACGGCTGGCGCGCAGTCCACGGCCGAGCCGAACTGCCGGAACCCTGCGTTTGCAGTGGTCGCCGCAGTAGCCGAAGCTGCTGCCGTGGCATCCACGATGGCCGCCACCCCGGCATTACTCCATTCGGCTGCGGTTGCCCCCACGCCCGGCACAATAGGCACCACGGCGTTGGCGCAACCCAACGTCACCGCACAAGGCAGGACCGACGCAGCAGACGCTCCCGCTATTGTAGTGCTCGATGCCCCCAATGTGACCACTGCGCTTGTTGGCAAAGGCCCAGCCACCTCACCATCGACGCCTCCGCCGCTGCCGCCGGTTGCCGTAGCAGCGGCAGCACCCGCACTCAGGATGGCGGCCACGGCGGGGGCGCAGTCGACGGCCGAACCGAACTGGCGGAAGCCTGCCGCTTGCACGGCGGCCATCTTGGCGTGCTGCTTGCGGTGGGCGGGAACCTTGGTGGAGTCGGCGCAGGCGAATGCGCAGCGCAGGCAGTGGAAGTGCGTCGCGCGGCCCGCGAACGGGCAGCCCACTATCACTGTGTCGCCCCTGGAGGCCAACGGCGCCATCGCCGCCGCCGCTGCTCTCCTTGCGCTCGCCGGTTTTCCGCCGCTGCCACGTGACGCGTCCTCGTCCACTGCCGGTCTGTCCGGCGGTGCGGTCACTGCCTTCTTCAAGTCTGGTTGAGCGTCATTTTCCGCAGCGGTAGCAGCGGCACCGTCCATCGCGATTGAGTTTGTTCGTCGTCATCGAGCCATCTTCACCGCACGAGGATGGACTGGGTGGCGCCGCCGTCTCCGCTTTCTCCGGTGCAACTGCTCGTTCACTTCCTGGTGCTGGACTCGGTGGCCTCCGTGCCGCTCGGCCGTTCGCCCGCTTCCTCGTCATTTTCTCCGCCAGCTGCGTCCGTTGCGACCGCAGATTTGCCATCACCAGAGGCATCCGAGAGCTTGCTATCCATGCTCACCAACTGCTGCCCAGCTGTATTTTTGCTCCCGCTACTTTCTCCACCTCCTTCACTTGCGTCACTGCTGTCCAACCCACAGCGCTGCTGCTGCTGCACAGAGTCGTGGCCGGGCACGGACAACACAGGGATGTAGCGTGCATACGGGCAGAGCGCACCGGCCTTATAGCGGCGGAAGTCGTCGAGCACCAGGCTGTCGACGCGCTCGTGGTGCATAGCGTGCTTGTGCATGTGCGTGCGCCCGCAGAAGCGGTAGCCGCAGCCGTCGCGCGCGCAGTGGTAGTGTGTGGCGCGCCGTGCAAAGTGGCAGCCCACGTCCGCGCAGTCGGCGCGCAGGTCGAAGCGCAGGAAGCCTGACAGGACGCTGTTGGCCACCGCCGTCTTGTCCACCGCCGCGCCGTCAGCTGCCACAGGGCTCCTATTCGCCCCCAACGCGGCCGACGCCATCGCCACCACCGCCGGAGGAGCGCCGCCGATCGCTTTAGCTGGAATGCATCCGGCCTGCACCGCCTCGAACGCCAGCGGAGCGACGCACGCTCCGGCCGTGGGCGAGCACTCGCCGCTTCCGCCGCTGCTGCCGGGCACCGCCGACGACGGCGTCACGGCCGCGCTGGCGTCAAAGCTGTCGGCACTGTTCCCCCAGTCATCGCCCAGAGTCGACGCTGGCTCCGCCTTGATGGGCACGGAGCCCAGAAACTCCACGCTGGGAACGTAACCATCGTCTCCCAGCTCAGACTTGTGGCCACCGATGCTAGTGCTGCTGCTGGTGTTGCTGCTGTTGTTCATGTTGCCGTCCATATTCGTCGCTGATCTCACCACGGTCATTGGCAATGTCTTCTTGGTGGTCGTTGTCTTGCGTCGCTTGCCGAAGGGGGACATGTCCTCTATGATCCACACGCGACGCTTTATTCCTGCCGTCGCACACGGGAGCCGCAAACAATTATTTTCAATTAACTTAATTTCGTTTAACAGCATTTTTTTTACTCATAAAGCAAATACCTAATGTTCGTGTGTTTTTTTTTACACGTTTCGCCAATTGTTATTCTTCTTTTCATGTTTGCACTGCGCTCGTGTAAATAAAAGTCGTTGACGTGAGGTGGAAAGATGTCCTAACAGAACTCCTACAGTGAAGAGAAAAAACGTGTGGCCAGATTATCAATTCATGACACTTTAAAGCTGGATTAGTCAGGGATGACTTACAGCTAGATTTCAGCAGTATTGGCTCAGTTTTGGATGCTGTATCTCCTTCAAACAAACGTCATTACCATCCCTCTAAGATCAGTAAAACAAGTAACCCAAAATTGGCTGCAGTATTTCAATAAAAATCAGAGCATTGCCATAGCAAAATAGAATTTCCACCACGAAACTCAATACCAATGATAGACATGCAGGGCTGTGGGTGCCACGGGGGCGAGATATTAACTACATCACCTAGTATGCAGCTATGGGTTCGATTCTGACCATGACGCCTATTAGGAGTTTGCATGTTTCCCCGTGCCCACGTGGATTTTTCTCTGGGTCCTCCGGTTTTTCCCTCCACATTTCGAAACGTGTGTGTAGGGTATTTGGCTGCGATAAATGTCCACGTGATAAGGCACTTCGTTGGGCTATCATTTGCGGTGGCCAGGTCGCTTCTGAAAAAGAGCTACATAGCTCAGTGGGCCTTACCTGTTAAAATAGAAATAGTTAAATAGTTAATTTTTTCACTGTATTTTCCAGGTCTCTGGTATAGCGAGAGGTATGCTGGATCTGGGGTGCTGGGTGTGGAGATATTTTCTGGGTCATTGACCTGGAACTGCCCCAGCTGTTTAATTAACAACACAATTATAAAAAGATGCAACATAGCACGTAAAGAAGGGCCATTGCCCAAAACGTTTCCTATTATATATTTTCCTTTCAAGGCCATACACAGTGTTAATAACGAATTTGTTGCCTTGTTTTGATTATTTATGCTTTTGCACCGCTGACGCAGTAGGAGCATCACCGAACAATCAGCTGAAATTCCGCCCTGTGGACAAGAGCACTATCAAATTCGAGGGCAATAGATGTTTTCTGTGCGAGCAATTTTTAATTAACATAACATTATCATTGTCAGGTGTTACCTGATGTGGGTGCAGGCTGCAGCAATGATTGACAGGAGGTAGGCGGTGCCAGACAGGGAGTAGGTAGGGCCAGGCATGAGATGGGTGGTGGAAGTGAGAGTGAATGACAGGAGGTGGAGGGAGCTTGCGCCAGTGGCTGAGGCATTGGTGTTGGAAGGGAGAGAGGCACGGGGAGAGACGGGGAGAGCGAAGGGGAGATGGGCAGAGAGGCTCCTGTGTGTGTGTGCACGTGAGAAGAGAAGGGACACACACGCACGCAGAGTGAATAAACACAGGAAGCCAAGAAAAGTGGTTAAAGTGAAAATCCATGAACACACCTGTGCTAATGTTTTAAGTGGCATCACACACACTTGTACTGTGTTAACTAGGCACACACAACTGTGCTATATACTACACACCTATGTCCATGATCTAATTAATCAGTTTGTTAGTGGACTGGCAAGCAACTATATTGCAACAATATATAACTAAAGCCGGGTTGCACATGCACCTAATCTGGCGGTTGGGCTTGAAAGTGACACGATGTGCAATTTTTTCCCCAAAATTCCATGCAGCCTGGCCACAGTAGAATTTATAAGGGTCTGACAAATACAGACCTTGAATGCGCAATTCAGATGGCAGGGCGCACGTTACTTTGTTCGTAGTAAAAAATCTATTTGGAAAATGGCGCTTTGGCGTTTAAATTCCACCTCCAGGATTTAGCATTTTTCCTACCCATTCACAACGAAACGGCCGCATTCAACAATGCCGTGCGCATCGCACCACCACCACCTCCTCCCGACGTCCCGCCCGCAGTTGACTCCCAACCGGGACCAAGTTTCACGGAATTTCTGTCGTAACTGAATAATTTACGAGGTCGCAAGGATGGCTTGCCCCGCCGCTGTACAGTGCACGTAATAACGGCAAAGGACGCGCGGCGCGTGAACATCTCCGATGTTCCGCACTGTTGCTGTGCAAAACATACGCGGCTCAGTGAGGTATCGATGCGTTTTTGTTCTATTTTTCACCCAATTTCATCCGAATTTTGCCATTGGCAGCATCACGCCGCTCGGAACCCTTGCGGAGCGATGCATCAGTCCACATCGCAGGAAGGTTTCGCAGGAGATATCGCCTAACTATTATTTGCAAAATCTCCAGTGACTCCTTGTCCAGTCTAAAGGGCAGCACTCTCCCACCTGTTCTTCGGAGTAATGCTCATTGCATGACAGTAAAATTGGATAGGTTCGATTCTCATAGCTGGAATTCAGCAAGATTTGAAGTTTTCGTGACTGCAAGGATCCATACTCTTTGGTTCTTTGGGTAAAGTCACGTAGGTAAAAAATTTAAATAAATTAAATCACGACGTTTCAAATGCTTGTGTTGCGTCAGAAACGTCGTTATTTAATTTATTTGTATATTTTACCTACGTGACTTTACCGAAAGAACCAAAGAGTATGGAATTCAGCAAATTGAAATACAAAAGCAAATTAAATGCGATGTATATAAAAACAAATGTGCGTAGGACAATGCCGCTGGGCCAAGTACCACGAACGTCACTACACTTGAGAACCCGGTTTAATTACGGGCGGCGAAAAAAAACGAGATTCCAACCCCGGATTTCAGCGATGCCAGCTCAGCTCTCTAACTTGTGAGCCAACACTGCACATTACATTTGGTAGATCTACGGTGCACAGGACAATTTCAGTACCAAACACAGCCATGAGTACTTGTTAATTTAGGTCATCCTCTAAAGTCTTTAAACAATCAAACAAAAATCACCCTCACAGTCACTTATCTCCATTGACAGCCTTGTGCTTGTGGTGAAATTTGCACATTCTCATGGCAGGGGCTGGTCCACAGGCCAACCGCCACTAGCTGACTTTCCACAAAGTTTGTGCTGCAACGACCAGGCGTGTGAGAAAAGCCCCGCCGTCTCAAGGCTTTGCTTCAGGAGACTCCGGTTCTTTATTGAGTCGTTTCGCATGGCAGAAGCAGCGGCAGAAGCGGCGGCGTCGGTGGTGTTGTGTGCACACATTTTGTTAAGGAATCGCTTATCACTAGGGTTGCCACCTCTTGAGGTACAAAAATCCAGGACATAATTACGGGAAGAAGAATACCTCACAGTGCCAGAAGGGGGGAGAACTACACCTTAATGCAATTAACCTTGAGCGGTGCGGTATTGTTACGCAACTGACAAACGCCAGGACTTTAAGTGTCCCGGGGAAGACTTACAGAGTTTCCCAGGATGGGGCAACTACTTCCTCATTAAAACGATACAATGTTCCTGGGAAAACCAGGAAAGGTTGGCAACCCTAGTGGTGATGCGGGTGAAGCCGTGATTACCTCGGGCCCTCTCCGCGTGCACGTCCATGGCGACGGGGGGAGTGGGCGGAGTCTGAAAGTGACCAATCACATGGCTCCGTGAGTCGCAAGTTAACGCGGCAGGGGGGGGGGGGGGTTGGGGGACTGGGGGGGGGGGGGGGTAACATTTGGTTCCTTGAGGAAAATCTCACTTAGTCCCGTATAAAACCTAATCCTAATGAGTCACACATTTTGTGCAACAATAGTAATAATAGTCCACTAATGACTCACATTAACCTCGACGATTGTTTAGAACTCTTTTACCAAGCGGCTCTGGCTTGGATTATTAGAGAAAACCCTTGCGTACGAGGGGATTCGCACTAAAAATTCCTCACAACATTGCTCAGCAGTCGTGCCTCATATTCAGCAAACGTACAATGGGCCAACGTTGGTATGTGGTTGGAACTGTTAGACCAAAGTTGACCCAAAGTTGACCAAACGTTCCATATTTACTGGGTACAGGCCTTTTTCTAAATAAACATGCAGCGTCGGGGCCAATGTTGGTTGACGTTGAGACAACGTTCGTCCAACGTCAACCAATGTCGGCCCAACGTTTGCATGCTTACTGGGTTGTAGTCACGCAGCTGGCTGTCTCAAGTACATTAGGAATTCAACTGGGGATCCACCCAACCTCTTCATCCTCGGAGCACGAATTTACCAGCGCGGATTACAGATTTACTGGCATGGATCACGGATTTACCAGCGTGGATTACGGATTTACCGGTGCGGTTCACGGATTTGCTTGCATGTATCACGGATTTACCGACGTAGATCACGGATTTACCGGCGTGGATTACAGATTTACTGGCGTAGATCACGGATTTACCAGCGTGGATCATGGATTTACCGCTGTGGTATACAGATTTACCGGCGTGGATCATGGATTTACCGGTATGTGCCGCCACGCCCCACCCCCGTTCTAACAAGCGGCTCAAAAAACCGAGCAGAGGATCCAAGAAAACTTTTGAGAACAGCCCTGGCGCGTGTCTTAAAACCCACCCCCAGGTGCCTATCATCCAGCAGCGCTTTAGTAACCTCCGTCCGAGTTCGGCAGGAATTACGATTGGTTTAACTTGCATTAAATCGTCAAGTAGTGTGTGATGCCGATATGGAACTATAACCACCAGCCGACAGAGCTGATCACCTCAAGTTGTCACACCATGGGCAAATGTGCCGCCAACTGATTTGGTTTATCAGCTTCCTCGTGGCTGACACAGACAGCGTGGGGAAGCCTACTACACCCAGACACCGGTCAATAAATACCTTTGAATTAGAATCATTGACGACAGCTTTATTTATTATTTATCAACGTTAATTCCCAGTTCTGAGCTCGTGTTAAACGCCTGAGGATGCTGGATGTAATCTTCAGCACAACTCAGAATATAAATTGTCAAAAAAATTGTGTCTTTCAACATTCCTCCTCCTCCGGTTTTGCTGATAAACCAACACGATTTGCATACAGTATTTTCCCGCGACGTGATAACTGTAATTAATTGGCTCCATCCATAAATAGTTACAAAATGTGCATTATACCGACACAGTGATCTAACCCAAAATAAACTCATGAATCGTGATATTGGTCATGAAAGCCTCCAAACAAAATTCCTCCAAAGGAATTGACGAATTATAATCAAACAACAATCCCTTCCAGCTCCCGCACACTGGGCGATTTCATAACTACATTTTCGCAGTGGACACCATCATAGGCGCATTCCCTCCTTTGCCTGCCACTCCGGCGTTGGTCGACCACCTTTGCCATCGTCCCTTCTAGCCGTGACACGTCCTGCCCAAGCCCGCCTACTTTTCTTAAATGTCGGAATTATGACTCTAAACTTGCCGCATCATCATAATCGTCATTGTCATCATCAGCCATGATCAATCGACTGCTGCATGAAGGCCTCCCCCCAAGCCTAAGCCACATCTCACAGCTGTGACGAAATGCCTGGCACCTGCACACGGGTAACCCCATCAATATCACAGATGTGACATCCGGTAACACTCTTTGGAGAAGTGACAGAAACAAAAGCAGCCAGGACAGAGCAGCAGAGTTCACGGCGGCTTCGTGTGTGGGCACGACAGCCGAAGGTGACCCAGAGTCAGGTAGAGGGCGATTTGGCAGTGTGTGAAGTGCACGTGTGCGTGGTTGCGTTTGTGTGAGCGTTGACGTCAGAATCATAGAACTCCCCAGTAATGTAGCGGTTAGTGCGCTCCGCTATGAACCCCGCGATCCAAGTTCAACTCCCACTCATGACCAAGAACTGTGATGAATATATTTGAACCGGTCCTGGGCCTCCCTTAGGTCGCCTGAGCCGTAAATGAGTACCTGGTGCAGTGTGTATAACACATTAGCACTGGGGAGACAAAGGTGGCCGGGCGTGGTGTTAACCACCTGCCCACATCTTCATGGACCCTGCTGGCCTTCATAGGTGCTCGCTGATAACACTTGCCCCAACAACTTTTAAGATTATACTGGGGATCTTTGTCTTTGTGTGCGCGTGTGTGTATGCATACGTATGTGCATGTGTGCGTGCATACTTATGTGTGGATGTGTGTGAATGTGTTTAGTATGTGCATGGATTTGTGAAAGCGTACACGAAAGCATACACTTAAACACCTACTACAGAAAGCTGTAAAATATGTCAGACACACATATACGTGCATTTGTGTATGTGTACGTGCGTGTCTATACCTGTATGGCAATGTGCATTTGTGCGGTTGTGTGTGCACCTAGCGTGGCACAAGCGTCGTGGTGGCGTCACCGCCAATTAGCGGCGAACGGCCGCTGTTATCGTTGTTGTACACGCACACGCGTTCGTGTTCATCTATGTGCACGTGTGTGTACGTGCATATGCGTGCGTGCGTGCATGCGCCTGCGTGCATGCGCACCTGGTTTCCGAGGGATAGGGCACGGCGCGCGTGCTTGCGCGCGTGCGATGTCATCTGGTGCTTGAGCAGGAAGGAGAACGAGCAGCCGTCCCTGATGCAGTGGAAGTGACTGCTCACCCGGCCGTACTTGCACCCTGACGACACGGCACAGACAGGCACTGTTAGCGAGCGCCTATCACTCTTAGCGAGCGCCTATTACTGCTAGCGAGCACCTATCACTCTTAGCGGGTGCGTAGTATGGACACAGGAGGGGCCCACGACACAGAAAATAAACATGATTTCAGGACATGGACAGTTTTTTGTTCACTCTCAGAGGGTGAGAATAATGGGAAGGCAGCCAGAGGCTGGGTTACCAAAACCATGCCTGGCCACCTTTGTCTACCCAGTACTGATGTTTACACACAGCACAAGCTACTCATTTGAGGACGAGTGGACCTCCAGGGAGGCACAGAATCGGTTCAAATATTCGTCATTGTTATTAGACATGAGTGGGAATTGAATTCGGGTCGACGGATTCGTAGCGCAGCACGCTAACCACTACGCCACCGCTGCCCACACACACGCACACTCATCACGCACGTACAACAACAACCGCCATTTCCAATTAAGTGGTGGTAACTTCACTACAACCCTTGTGCCAGGCTAGGTGCACTTTGAGGCTACGTGACCTGTTGAAGGCTCGCTAGCAGGTCACGGAACAGACCCAGGTGCCACGGGTTGACTGACTGAGATTTGCGTACGCACATACGCACACGCGCGTACGCACGTACCGTCACGCCCACACTCGTCGCGCTTGGTGTAGTACTTGAAGCCGTTGGCCGCGCGCCGCTCGGCCTTGTCGTGTTTCTTGACATGCCACGGCAGCTTGGTGCTCACGTTGGTGGCGAACTCGCACGCCCCGCGTGCGCAGTGGTAGTGGCCGCGAGAGCGGAACTCGCACTCCTGCGCATGGGGCCCATGTGTGTGCCACACGCAGGGACACACACACACACACTCCTCTGATTAGCACGGTTGGCCAAGTTCAATATACATACGTAGGTACGCACACGGGGAGACACACACACTCGGGGACAACCACACACGGAAACGTGTGCATAAGTGTCATGGCCTCACAAAGACGTGGTCACTAAAGCAAAGATTGTGGTAGTCGGGGAGACAAATCGCGTTACTTAGGGTAACTGTCATAAAACATTGGTTAATCCCTGTCATTAAATGTAACCTGTAAAAGGCAATTTGTAATGAGTAAACAGTCATAGTAATAAATGTTTGTAGGGAGCTTTACATCTGTGTGTGTGTTACTTTGCGCAGTGTCTACACGAAAGAGAATTCCCCCCTCACCCCCACGAAATGCGTGTGACTTGGTAGGGGCCCTCCCCCGCACCGAACGTGTGTGAGTTGGTAGGGTCGAGCATGCGCTAGCTAATAAAAAAAAACAGCACTAAATCGCTAATTAAACTACTTTAAAGGTGACGGACGTGAAATCAGAATAGCGCTGGCTCAGCACGGGGCTTATGGCGTGGTACCTGACTACTTTTTAAATATGTAAACCCCACGGTTTGCGAGCCAAATCCTTCGCAAGTTGCGTCCACACACAGAGAGACAGACAGACAAAAAAATGACGTTTATATATAAGGTAGCCCTGTTGTTTTTAAAGACAATGTACTCACCGCAGAGAACCGTAGCGACACGACCACCACACTCTAAGATAGCTTGCACCAAACTGTGCCACGCCCTCCCACATGGCCTTGTGGGAGCCCCTTCTGGTTACGCTCCGATGACTTACACGTATGTCGTAGTTTTAGCGTTAGGGGAGAGCGTAAGACGTCGGTTTAGGTTTAGCATCAGATTCATCTGCGCGACGGTAGGGAAAGAAGCGATCGTCTCTTGTGGGCATGGGGCAGGGTTGTTATTGTTGTTCGGGTTTCGGGTTGGGGTTACGTTTAGGGTTCAATGTAGGTTTACCGTCTTTGCCGTCGGCTTTATATTTTAAAGTCACGACAGTGAAAGAGGGGGGAGTAGTGGAGGGGGGCGCGGTGGTGGGTGGGGGGGGTCATCATTGCTCACCGGCAGGGGGCAGGGCTCCTGCGCGGAGTGGTAGTGGAAGTGGCGGCGAGCGCTCTCCGTGCAGTGCGTGGGCGTCACGTGGTCGGTGCAGTGCGACTCCGCCTTGGCCGCGCTCTTGCACACGTACTTGCACGCGCCGAACAGGCAGTGGAAGTGGCGTGCGCGTGCGTACTTGCACTCGGGACTCAGGCATGGGTCGCTGCGGGATGGCACAAGGGGGAGACAGAAGGTGGAGACAGACGCAGAGATTCACCCACCACCCCACCCACACTGAAGACAACGATCCCCCGTAGAGTCTTAACGGACTTTTCGGTACGACAAACTAGAGGGGTGGGTGGTCACCACCCTCCATATCTGGCCGCTTTTGTCTCCCCTCTCCCCAATGGCAATGTTTATCGCACCATTTGAGGCTGAGTCTACCTAAGGGAGGTCCAAGACTGGTTCAGATAATCGTCACTGGTGTTGACCGTGAGCGGTCAACACAATATGTATTGTTTCTAAAAATAAATATATCCCGCAGATATGGTTTCCTTAGGTCCCATGAGCCTAAGTGTAACATCATCTGAAGCTATTAACACAATTTGGGATAAATCGTAAAGAAAATCTCACGTGCGTGACTTTACACATGCAATGTGAGTTTAGGAAAATCCACACCAAACGGTCAGCGCCACCATAAACGATACAAAAGCCAAGTCACGCCGCCTCTATTCCCCAACGAGCAATGGGGGCAGCGCTGACCACTATTCGCATCGCTGAACCACTGGTGTCAAATTCCACATTCTCATGGCAGGGGTCAGTCTCTTCACAGGACAACCATCGGTGACCTCTCAAAGTGACGCTGGATTAGTGTCTTTGATGCAGCCATTGCGAGGATCCACAGAGAGAGTCCCAAACCCTGGCTTGAACCCCAATTCTCCGAGGTAAATGGCTCAAGTGTTTTTTTTATACGGCCGCAAACCCACAATCCAGTTCGGTGTCCCTGGCAAAGCCATGATAAAAATGCAGCGCAATCTACCCTCTCGTAATGGTCTCAATAAACACAAATACTTACTTCTCATCGAACTGCAGGAAGCCTGGCTTAATCTGTGGCTTCGATTCTTGAAGCCGGGCCGTGTGAGACTGCTGCTGATGCTGCTGCTGATGCTGCTGATGCGCTGACTGCTGCGAATTCATGTGCGTGCGCAGCAAATGCTGGTACTGCTGCTGCACTTGCACAACCGCCTGCTGCTCCTGCAGATTCATCTGCTGCCCATTCAGCTGCTGACCCGTCACCACCTGCTGCGGTTGCAAGTGGTTGTTCATCGCAAACGGCTTCATCAACTGCTGCTGAAGCACGGGTCGTTGTTGCTGCTGTTGTTGTTGCGGCTGTTGCTGCTGCTGTTGCTGCACACCTATCAGGTCTGGCTGTACGTGAGTGGGGAGTGGTTGCCTGTGCAGTGCAGACCCCATGTGCTGCTGCTGCTGCTGTTGCTGTGGCTGCAGAGCAGCTTGGTGCAGCGGTTGATGGAGAGACAGCTGCTGTTGCTGCTGCTGCTGCTGTTGCTGCTGTTGCTGCTGTGTCCAGGCAAGCAGGGAGGGAAGCAGGGAGCCAGTCACCACGGCGACAGGCCCACAGCCATCGACGCGGCCGTGGAAACTGGAGGAGACGGTGATCATAAGCATCAGCTACAAACGAGGCAACAGCTTGGATATTTGTAGAGGCAACAGTGTGGGCCCCGGCACCGCCTGTCACAAAGCCTTCGCACACTTATACCCAGAATACCAAGGTCTGATGAGTACAGTTGGCTACGTAGGGTGTGAAAGAAGTTCAACATATATACATAGGTCTGCCCCCCAATGAAATTCCATGTGTGTATGTCTATGTGGGAGAGGTAGCGTAGCGGTTAGCGTGCTCCGATACGAACCCAGCGACCCGAGTTCGATTCCTGCTCCAAGCCAACATCAGTGATGATTATCTGAACCTGACCTGGGCCTCCCCTAGGTCGACTCAGCCTCAAATGAGTACCTGTTGTGGTGTGTAAACATCACCACTGAGGAGACAAAGTCGGCCAGGCGAGGTGCTGGCCACCCACCCCCTTGTGTGCCATGCGGCCTTCATTCCTGCCCGCTAACAGCACTTACCCCAGTCAATTACGGCTATATGGGGGATCTTTGTCTTTGTGTGTATGTGCGTGTGTGTGTGTGCACCTTGCGTGTTTGTTGGCACCGTCCATGGTACGGAAGATAGCACCGCAGCCGTCGACACGACAGTGCACGTGGTCCGAGTGCGAGAAATCGCACGACGGCTCCCGGCACGCGCCGTCCGTGAACCTGCACCAACACGCAAAAACAAAGATTCTCCATGTAGCCTACACAGACTGTTGGGGCAAGGGCGGTTAGCGAGCACTTAAGAAAGTCGGTACGGCGCACTTCTGAGGGGGTGGTTTGGCCGAAAAGCACGCCTGGCTGCCTTCGTCTCCCCAGTGCTGATGTTTACACACCACACCAGGCACTCACATCAGGTTGAAGTTGCGCCTCAGTGTAGGTTCAGAAATTACTCGCCATGGCTGGGAATATGAACCCAGGTTGCTACGATCATTGCACGACTGCTATGTACATACACACGTAAGCTCGTTCGTAAAAATAATCTTTAAAAATATACACAACAAAACAATCAAAGAAAAAACAGTACTTTACCGTTGTAGGTATTTTTCCCATAATGCCGTTGGGTTTTCACGTTTGATGGCAGCCCTCAGGGATTGGTTGATGAAAGTTGCGCCTGATTGGCCGCTCGTCTGCAGGTTCAGCGAATCAGAGAGCCCCATTCCAGTCTGCAAGAGAAAAAGAGCGTTGCATTGCTATGACGTAATTTTTGACTGTACGACATGACGCCAATTGTGAATTCTGTTCCCCGTAACTTTGTAACGTATTGGATTTGTTTTTTGGTGTCCTCCTTGTAAGAATAAACATCACGAAAACGGTCTTCAACTGCTGTTCACTTAGCAAAGGTCTGCCGTAAAGTTCTAACCATCGTAACTTTACAATCTATAACAGCTATCTTCTTCTTGCGTATGTCACAAAGTGCTTGCAACAAATTTCGATTTAAAGCTTTCCTGACTGCAGGGATTCATCTTCTTGGTTCTTTCGGTAAAGTCACGTAGAATGGAAATAATAAAATTATAAAAATAAAACATAATAAAAAAATTCTCACGACGTTTCGGCCACAACGCAAGTAGCCGTCCTCAGGTGGAGAACAGGTCTGTCGAGGAGACAGAGTCCGGATCAGATCATCTGTCTCCTCGACAGACCTGTTCTCCACCTGAGGACGGCTACTTGTGTTGTGGCCGAAACGTCGTGAGAATTATTTTATTATGTTTTATTTTTATTATTTTATTATTTCCATTCTACGTGACTTTACCGAAAGAACCAAGAAGATGCTTGCCACAAATGAACCACAATACCTTGCTGATCTCGTTAAGGAGCATAAACCATCATTCCAAGCCTGGTCATCCTAGCAGCGGCTTTGGCTAGCCATCGAAGACGGTCACTGCATCCAACGCTCTCAGATGTGCTTCTGCGGCCGTCTGGAACACTCTTCCTTCCGATATTAGGAAGCCATTGGAGCTATGCACTTTTAAGTCGATATTGAAAACTCATTTCTTTATAACTGCTTTTCGTCTTTAGTTTGTTGTCCTTCCCCTGCAGCTGCGATTAGCACGGTTGGCTATGCACGGTGCGAAAGAAGTTAAACATACGTACGAACATGTCTCTGTTAATAGCCACATCAAGATCTACATCCAAGTTTGTGAAAGCCACGCGATGGCCTCATGCGAGGCTGAATGAATAGCTGCGGCTGTTGCTGCTGCTGCCTCCATTGAATTTGCAAAGTTGCCAGTGGTTCACAGTGCACTCTATGATTTGGCCAGGGTCTCACCGCAGTCACAACCCGACCTTCCTTCAATTTGACACGACTCAAGGAGGTGACCGGACCTGGCATCGTGCGGAGTTGATTTAATCACGCGCTCCATTGCGTTCGGAGGAAGGGCGGCACCCGGATTTCTCGGTGCTAGGATCCGATATCGAACTTTTGCTTGGGACGCCGCTGTTAATGCTTACACGGTAATAAAGATATAATTATTAATGAGTTACTACTACTGACAATACGAAAACAATTTAAAAACCAGGGCACAAATTTCAAGTCTTTATTCGATCGTGTACTCGGAGAGGCGGAGGAGCACAGGGGGTTACGGTTCGTCCGTGACCCCTGTGCCACCGTGCCCTGAGCGACAGCGGCGTCCTTCAGCAGACTCCTGCAGCTAGGAGGGAGTGCGTGGCACTTCGTGTGTGGAGCGGGAGACAATGTTCCAGTTGACGGGAGCGGCCACGGAGAATTGCCACTCAGCCAGGTTCGGACAGTCCGGGATTTGGGGACGATCAACAGGTCGTTCTCCGTGGTATGTATGTTGCTGAACTTCTTTCGCACCATACGTAGCCAACTGTGCTAATCGGAGATGGTCAGACAACAACCTCGGCATAATTTGAGTTACGATGCTGAAAGACGAGCACGTTTAATGGGCAATAACACCTTTAATTGTTGCGTTATATCGTAATTTGTCAGATAATGTTATGTTTTAAAGAATTAAATTTGTAAAAAAAAATGATATCATGCAACAACAAAAAAGCGGCTGGGGAAATCGCAGTGGATCTTATGTCTGTGATTAAACCTGGCAAGCCTGGGGGAGAAGAGAGGCAGAGATTGGGCAGTATGGAAAGCAGGTGGCATGTTGGACCCCGTGACCTCTCCTCCACATGGCCTGTGAATCGACTGCTGTTGCCGAGTACATTTTTATCAGGCACTCACCCTGAGCAGAAAAGACGACAGGGATCCAGCCAAGGGTCCTTCCATCAATGGCCTGCAATAGAGATGTATTGCTCATAAGCTGTCACCACAGTTATTACAATTGTGAGGTGACAGGTTTAAATACATATCATGAACATAAAAGTCAAGGTACAATTAAACATTCAATTTTACGTAGAAAAGTTATATTACTCTATGTGTGTTTGAAGTTTCTATGAAGCAGATACAAAGCCTTACCCTTAAATACATATCATAAACATAAAAGTCAAGGTACAATGAAACATTACATTTTACGTAGAAAAGTTATAGTACTCTATGTGTGTTTGTAGTTTCTATGAAGCAGACATAAGGCCTTACCCATGATGCTTTGGGCTTGGGTCCTGGTTTACATGATCGCAAGGTTCTTGTTTGATTTGAACTCTGGACGAGCCTTCCCATTGGCTGAGTCCTGGTCATGTGATAGCAGTGGGAAGAGAGCGAGGGAGCACATGAGTAGTGTCATGGGGTGTGTGCATTTCATGTATTTGCATGTGTGTGTGAGTCGGTGTTTTTGTATGTGCATGTATGGGTTCATATGTGTTTATTTCTCTTTTTGCGCAAGATTATGTGTGTCCAGGGTTAGGGTGGGAAGCCATCGTTTCGCGGTTAGCTCGCTGCGCTACGAACCCAGCGACCCAAATTCTGATTCCTGCTTATGACCAAACCAGTGACGAATATCTGAACCACTGCAGAGACAAAGGCGGCCAGGTATGGTGCTGGCCACCCACCCCCTTGTGTGCTGTACTGGCCATTACCAGGTAACGCTCACCGAGCTGGAGAGCTCTTTTGCAGAAGCAACCTGGCTACAAATGATAGCTCTACCAAGTGGCTTATCATGTCGAAAGTTATAGCAGCCAAATAATCTAAGCGCACGTTTCTAAATATGGAGGGAAAAACCAGAGGACCCGGATAAAAATACACGCGACCACGGGGAGAACATGCAAACTCCAACTATACAGACGTCAGGGTAGGGATCGAACCTACAACCTCCTGTATACCAGGCGAGGTAGTTAACATCTCGCCACCGTGGAGCTAAAAGCACTTGCCCCAAAAGTCTGTTAAGGCTATATGGGGGATCTTTGCCATAGTGTGGCACAATCGCCACACTATGGAAGAAAACTAATCTGGAAACAGTGGGGGGGGGGGCTATGTTCTTGAAATGGAACGTGATTTTCCACAGCAGATTAACTTAAGAGCCTTCGCAAATTAATGCGCTTCTAATTTTGTCCCAAAGGAATCAATAGCACGGGAGTGGAGTGCATGCTACAAAATTACCGGTTCAAAGCAAAATGCCATCATCGTCGTCATCGTCATTATCACCGGGTGGAGGGGGGGGGGGCGGTAGGAGAAGGAAAAGTTATCGAGGCCTCTAGGCTCACCGTCTCCCACGCCATCCTCGTGCTCCTTCTTCACGGACCCCATCGCGGCCGCCGGCGGGGGAGGCCTCAGAGCCCCGGCCGCCAGGCGCGCCATCTCCGGCGAAATCCTGAGGCACGGGGAGCCGGCCCTCGCGCCGCCGCCCTGCGGCCCATGCGACGCCGGGCCCGACGACAATTCCGTCGACTCGTCACCATCCCCTCCGGCGCTGTCGCCGCTGTCGCCCACGTCTTCCTCTTCCTCGTCGTCTTCGTCGTCGTCGTCAACGTCTTCTCCTCCTCTTCCTTTGTCCTCTGCTTCCGTCTCTCTGTTGCGTGGCCCAGGCACGTGTTGCTTCGCGGGCAGCTCACCGTTGTCGGTGTAGCCGCCGCTATCATCGTCGCCATCATCGTAGTTGGTGACGTCCGCCTGGTCTCCCAACCGGCGGCGCTTCCTCCGCTCGCCGAGCTCTTGCTGTTGCCGCTGCCGCCGCCGCTCTCTTCGCATTCCATGCTTCCTCTTCCCCGTCTTCTCTCCATCGCCTCCAGCCACCATCTCCCCCTCGTCCTCATCTTCCTCGTCCTTTACGATGATGGCCGCATGATCACCGCTACCCTCCACCTCCGAATCTTTGCACTTTGCTTGATCTAGACTGTCGTCAACGTCCACGTCATTTTCATCATCCTCATCATCATCCTCGTCATCGTCTGCATCCTTGTCATCATCGTCATCATCATCGTCATCATCATCGTCTTCGTCATCATCATCGTCGTCATTGTCCTCCTCCTCCCCCTCCTCTTCTTCGTCGTCATTGTCGTCTGCCACTTCTGCGTTGCTGCCTCTGCCAAAGGCGGTGGTGGTAGTGGTAGCGGCCGTGTGGCCGGCAGAGCCTAGGGGTTTTGAGGCAGTACCGTCGTCACCACGAGCGTCTCCAAGGCGCATGCCGAAGTGAGTGCCGCCAACACCGGCAGCCGCTGCGGCTGCTGCCAGCTGCAGCAGCTGCACGGGAATCTGGCGCAAGGGAACGCCGATCGGGATCGGACCGAGACCCAGGCCAAGGCCTAAACCCAGGCTGATCGCCGGCATGATGCCGTGGATCTGGGAACCGGACGAAGCCTTCGACTCGGGCCTCGGGGGCACACCCGGCGCAGACAGCAGCACGCCAGCCTGCTGCACGTCCGACTGCTGCTGCTGCATTCCGAAATGCTGCTGCGTCAAAAGCATGATCGACGACGGGTGGAACGCCGTCGACGACGACACCGAAGCGACAGAGGACGGTAAAGACGAACAGGCCGACGAAACGGAATTGCTGCCCCCCGCTCCGACAAGTGCCACCACGGGGCCGAAGCAGGCGCTCGCCGACGCCCGGCAGCCGTCCTCCGACGTGCCCGCGTGCCCGTCGAGTGGGCAGCAGCTGCCGGCTGGCGCTCCGCACCCGTCGATGGCGCACACAGGCGTCGCGGGCAGGGTGACAGGTGCCACTCGCGCGGAGCCGGCCGCAGCCTCCGTGTCGGACGTGGGCGTCGACTGCTCCGTGGCCGCGCTCATGGCCGCCGTCAAATCGGCCGCGGTCGCCGTCGTCATGGTCGTGGTCGCGGTCGTCGTTGTCGTCGCTGCCCCCACTGCTGCGGTGGAAAGTAGAAATGGGGAGCCGGTCGAATAATTTGTCGCCTGCAGCAAGGTCTCGGAGAGGCCGGGCTGCTTGCCGAAGTTTGACGCAGCCGTCGCGGCCGGGAAGAGGGTGGCGCTGAAATTCGCCGGCGCCTCGAAGCGGAACTGGGCCGTGCCGGAGAACCCGGGCGGAGTGAATGCCGTGAACGTGCTGCTGCCGGCCAGCGCCAGTTCAGCCTGAAGCGGTTTCCTATCCAGGGGCGAAGGCACCAGGTTGAGAGTGGAGATGCAGCCAGTCCCAGTGGGGGCTCCGGGCCGGTCGCAGCCACGCACGGAGCTGCGTCGCTCATGCTTGCGCTTGTGCGACGTCATCTGGCTCGTGGAGGTGAAGGTGAAGGCGCAGCCCGAGCGGATGCAGTGGAAGTGGTTGGTGGCGCGCGCGTATGCACAGCCCGCGAAGCCGCACGACTCGTACTTGTAGAACTTTTTGAAGCCGTCGCGGGCATAGGCATCGTCGCGCACGTGGTACGACTTGTGCTTCTCCACGTCGCACTTGTTCTTGAAGGTGAAGTAGCAGCCGCTGCGCCTGCGCCACGGGCAAGATGGAGACGGGAAGGAGGGATGTAGGGGGCAAATGAGAGGGAATATTAACCCCATTAACTGTGCTGCGCCGGCATCACACAACTCCCGAATCAGTTGAAGCCAAACAGGGCAGGCAGAGGAGGGGCTGACGACGGCATCACTGCGTTGTCTGCGCGCATCTCGATTCATCCGTCGAGCATGACCGTAAGCGGCACGGCTCGGCTCTCCCAGTGAGAAAAATGGCCGATGCTTTCTGAACTGCCGCCGATGGGGGCCGTACAACCCAACCGAGCCGTGCCAAGCCAGCTGGGCGCCAGGCTTGGCACGGCTCGGTTCGGGTGTATGGCTAAAAAGAGGCATGGGACAGAATAGAAGGTACAAAGTAGAACAAGAAGGGAAACAGGTGGACGAACAAAAAGGTGAGATGGGTAGGAAGACGGGTAAGAGACGGGAGAGAGTAATGGCAGAGGGGAGAGAGAGATGACGTGTCTTTGTGGTGGATGTAGCGACGGTGATGACGTTGGCCAGTATCACAGTTGTCACCTGGACAGGGCGCTATATAAATATGAAATAAAATAGAATACACGTTGGGGTGAGCAATGCGGAGGTGGGACTGCAAGGCATCATGGGGGGAGGAGACGAACTCTCACGAGGCTGCGTGTGTACGGACGGCAGCCCAATCACAGCTGCTGCTGCTGCTCGTGAGGCTACTGGCTGTCGTCAGTCAGTAATCCTCTAAATAATCTCAGAGCTTATTTTCACGAGGGTCCTGTCAGGTTTTTGCAGTAGGGGGCGACGTTGCTACGTGTGACAATAAATTCGAGGCGTTTGTGGGTAATGTATTCAGCATTGGGGGATGTTTGGACAATCCACGTTGCATTGTGTGGTTTGTTAGCCATGGGAGTAAATTAGAGAACCTGAAGGATAACAAGGGGAGAACATACAAACACCACACACAAAGGGCGTTGGGAATCAAACCCAGGCCCTTCTTGCTGTGAGGGCCAAGTGTAACTGCTGTTCTGCCCTGGAGCCCAACAAATGCCCGTAACTATTCTGCTGCTTGTCACGGTGCTGCTGGTCACACAGCTGCTCAGCCGCCGCTCCTTGTGGCTGTGAAGCTGATGCTGCTGATAGTGGCTATCGTACTGCTGCTGCTGTTGCTGCTGCTGCTGTTACTATTGCTGTTACTGACACTGCTGCTACAACTACAAACACTACTGCTGGCGAATTGCCCGATGATGCTGGATGCAATTACCAGCGAAACGTCGTACTCAAATTGTAAATGTTGTGGTTTCACGCTTCAACACACCGGTGGGCTAAAGCAGTGAACTAATTGTCCTTTGTCAACGTGACACTTTTTTACTGATTGGCCGTGTCGGGTGGTGGAGGGTTACGACACATTTATAAATAACGCGATCTAAACCCAAAAACGTTGATTATGAATAATATTGGTCACGAAAGCCTACGTGTTAAACTGACTACTGCTGTTGCTGCTGCTACTGTTGCTGTTACTGACACTACTAATGTTGCTGCTACTACTACAAACACTACTGCTATTACTGCTGCTACTACTGCTGTTGTTGCTGCTCCTATTACCCCAAATACTACTACTGCTGTTGCTGCTGCTGTTGTTGCTGCTCCTATTACTCCAAATACTACAACTGCTGTTGCTGCTACTGTTGTTGCTGCTCCTATTACTCCAAATACTATTACTGCTGTTGCTGCTGCTACGAACACAATTACTACTGCTGCTGCTGCTCCTATTACTCCAAATACTACTACTGCTGTTGCTGCTGCTACTGTTTTTGCTGCTGCTATGACTACAATTACTGATGCTGCTGTTGCTGCCGCTCAAGGTGTAGGTGAGAGCGCGTCACGTGCCGGCAGTGGAAGTGCGTCGTCTTGTGCCCGTGGAAGGTGCAGGTGGGCGTGCCGCAGTCCTCGGTGGCGCGGTAGCGCTGGAAGCCGTCGCTGATGAGCTGCGCGTTCTTCTTGTGGAAGTTCTCATGCGTCATCACGTCCGACGTGCTCGTGTACACCTTGGTGCAGCCAACCTGCATCGACGGCAACGGCAACAGCGACGACGAGGATGACGCTCAAGCAGGTGCGCACGTGCATGCTTGTGTGTGTGTGCGTGCGGGCGTTCGACACTTCGCGTGGCCTTAAAGTGCACCTAGCCTGGCACAAGCACCGTGGTGACGTCACCGCCACTTAAGTGGTGTGTGTGCCGTGGTTAGCACACCGCTGTGCTACGAACCCAGCGAGCCGAGTTCGATTTCCTGACAATGGTGGAGAATACCCTGAATTGTTGTTCGACCTCCGCTAGGTCGACTCAGCCTGAAATGAATACCCTGTGCGATGTGTAAAAACATCAGCACTGGGCAGAGGAAGGCAGTTGAGCATGGTGCTGGATAGCCGCCCACCCCCTCGTGCGCCGTATCGGCCTTCAAAGATTCTCCTAACAGCACTTGCCCCAAAAGTCCGTTCAGGCTATACGGGGGATATTTGTCTTTTGTGTGTGGCGCGGTAGTATGGTGATTCGCGCACCGCTGCGCTACGAACCCGGCGACCCGAGTTCAATAATCTGAGTCAACCTAGGGGAGGCTCTGGACCAGGTTCAGATATTTGTCACTGATGGTGGTCGTGTGTGGGAATTTAACTTGGGTCACCTGGTTTGTAGCACTTTGCGCGAACCACTGCACCACCACTCCCCAAGCACATTTACACACACACTTGCATCGTAACATAGATGTAAATCATCTTGAATGCACATCCAGTGAAGAAAGTGTGTGTGTGTGTGCACATACACAGATGGTGGGGAATGGTAGTGCAGTGGTTAGCACTACGAAGCCGACGAGCCAAATTCGATTCCCACTCAAGGCCAATAATGGTGGCGAATATCCCAAACTGTTGTTAGCACTGTGGAGGTGAAGGCGGCCGGGCGGCGGTGCCAGTCACACCACCCCTCGGTCCACCAATCCAGTCTTCATAGGTGCCAACAGCACTTGCCTCAACATTTTTTTGGCAAAATGAGGCATCTTCGGGTGTGTGTGTGAGTATGCACATAAGAGGAGCGGTGGTGTAGTGGTTAGGCCATCGCTGTGCTACAAACCCAGAGACCCGAGTTTGATTTCCGCTCGGAGACCAACATCGGAGAGGAATATCCCGAGCTGGTGCTGGGCCTCCTCCTAGATCGACTCAGCCTTAAATGAGTAGCCGGCGCAGGAGACAAAGGTGGCCGTGCCTGGTGTTGGATACACCACCCACCTCGTGTGCCGTGCAAGCCTTCATAGGTGCTCGCTAACTTTCCCCAGCAGCCTTTAAATGCTATACAGGGGATCTTTGTGTGTGATGAGGTAATTGTATGCAGGTGTGTACATAGGCTTAGAGAGTAGATGGGTCACCACCAAAGATGAACACCCGAGGAGGGACGCATGCAAGGCTGATGAGTCAGATGCCTCCTATGACCTCCTGTCCCAGATGTTGAATAAAGTGGCCTCTTGGGATAGAGTCATCTTATTCGGGGTCTTTACTGCCCGAGTGGGCTATGATGCGAGCACTTGGGCAAGAGTTATTGCATGACCCGGGCCAGATAGCTTCAACAATAACGGTAAGAGGCGACTAGATTTCTGTGCTGCCGATGAGTGTATAATTATGAAGATAATATTGTGTATTTGCCGGCGTTTCCACACGGCGACTTGGGTGCATGCCAGGTTCACGCAAGAACATCTGTTTGGCTATTTAGTGGCTGCGCAGCAATTATAGGGCCCATATCCTTGACACCAGGATCTCATTTGTCCAGTGCTAATGATAGTGCATACGTGTGCGTGAGCATCTCTGGCAGGCGAGGCTGTGTTGGCTGGGTCATGTGGCCCGCACGCTCAGCCACTGCATGCACGAGCAGCTTCTGTTTGGCCAGAGAGAGAGAAGGCTTAACGGACCCGAGTAGCCGATGCGATGCATGAACATCTGCATCGAGGAGATGGAGGCGGTGTTGGTATGGCGCTGGCCACACCAACCCATCACAGGTGCGCCGTGCCGGCCTTCATAGGTGCTACTCGCTAACATTATGTGCCCCAACGGCCTGTTAGAGGCCATGTGGGGGCGGGGGGAGGGGGATGTGGAGGATCTTTGTCTGGTGTCTGTGTACCTGCATGCAGTGGTAATGGGTGCTGCGCCCGTTGAGGTGGCAGCTGCTGTAGTGCGCAGAGCAGTCGTCGAGCGGGCTGAAGCGCATGAAGCCGTGCTGCAGGCTGTTGTCGCGCTTCTTGTGCATGTTGTAGTGACGGATCACGTCCTGCTTGCTCGTGAAGCGCTGGCACACGCACACACACACACGCACGAGCGCGCACGCGCACGCACGCGCAGACATGTCCAAGCACACAGCCAGCACACACGCATACACACGCGCACGCATGACCAACCACACAACCGTGCACTCGCGCATGCAAAGACGCGTCCAAACGCACACGCGCAAACGTACACGTGTGCGTACGTTCACATGGACAGACATGACCAACGACCCACCCAGAAAAACAATGAAAGATCCACTATCTAGCCTTACAGACTTTTTGGGTAAGTGCTGCTAGCGAGCACCTATGAAGGCCAGTACGGGAAACGAGGGGGTGGGTGGCCAGCACCACACCTGGCCGCCTTTGTCTCCTGAGTGGCGATGTTTTACACACTGCACCAGATGCTCATTTGAGGCTCAGTCAGCCTAAGGGATGCCCAGGCCAAGGTTTAGATACTCTTCACTGGTGTTGGCCATGAGTGGGAATCAAACTCACATCTCCGGGTTTTGGAGTGCAACAACAACAGAAATAAAAGCCGCCATTTGCCACTAAGTAGTGGTGATGTCACCAGGGTGCCAGGCCAGGTGCACTCCCAGGCCACGTGAATTGTCCAAGGATCGCTGGCAGGAGGTCACGGGACAGACCCAGGTGCCATGAGTTGACTGACTTTGATGACTGGCAGATGCATCACCTGTGCCCCCTGCTGTGCCAACTCGCTTCATTTTCGTAGCGCACCACATGCACACACTCGTGCACAAGCAAATGCACATAATCACATACATCCAATCACACATCCATCCACAACCACGCATGTATTTGCACACACATTTACATGCACGCACGCAGGCACAGTTGCAGAGTTCAACTCTTGGTCTATGCGGTGGTCATGCTCCTTGTAAGTGTGATCGTGAGTGTTGATGAGTGTGAGCGAGTGTGATAGTGAGCGTTGGTAAATGTGAGTGTTGGTGAGTGTGAGTGAGTGTGATAGTCAGGATTGGTGCATGTGACTGTTAGCATGCTGGTGAGTGACTGTGGTAATGAGTGTTGCTAAGTGAGTGTGATAGTGAGAGTTGGTGAGTGTGTGAGTGTCGGTGAGTGAGTGTGATAGTGAGAGTTGGTGAATGTGAGTGTGTGTGTGTCGGCGAGTGAGTGTGATAACTAGTGTTTTGTGATAACGAGTGTGAGCGCGAGTGTGAGTGAGGAGCAGTACTTGGTAGTTGCACTCGGGGTCGATGCAGTGATAATGCTCCTTGTACTGGTAGGCGCAATGGGCATGGCCGCACTGCTGAGTGCTCCCGAACCTGGGGGGGGGGGGCACGGGATGGACAGGGAGACACAGAGTTAAAGACAGAGTGAGACACCGAGGGGCCGAGAGACACAGTGAAACGCAGAGAGGCATAGAGAGAGAGAGAGTGCTAGGCACAGAAACACATAGTGCACAAAAATTACTTTGGCAAAGACGGGACATGGACAGGAATGGAGTGAGTAAAAGTGACAGAGAGGAACGGTGATCATGCAAGAGAACCGCCATGGAGGAGACGGAGCAAAGGGAGAGCGGTGAGAGAGAGAGAAAGACGTGGAGAGATAAACATTGCAGGAGAGAGATGGAGGGGAGAAAAAGAGATTAAATGACAGGGAGGGATGGGACGGAGGGTTTGGTGGGGAATGGTGGAGAGGGAGGCCAGACAAGGAGGATGGGGTGGCAGGTGGAATACAATATAAGAGAGAGAGAGAAAAAAAACAATTAAAAAAAATGGGATATTTTTTTCTGTAAATGAACGATACGGTGAAATTAGAGACGATGGCAACATTTTTTGTGGCGAAATAAACGCGCGAACGGACACATGACACCGGCAAGGTCAGACGGGAACATGTGCATGTCAATAGCACACGCGTGTGCACAAGCACACGCACACGCGTACACACCCACTAGTGCACACACAAGCACACACCACATGCACACACACTCGCATACACCCACACATATCCATACACCCATGCACCCACGCGCATACATACACCCACGTACACAGGCGCACATCTACAAACACGCCTACAGGCGCATGTACACAGGCGCACATGCATATATATATGCATATACAACAACAGCTGCCATTCACAAATAAGTGGCGGTGATTTGCCAAAATAGGTGCACTTTGAGGCCACAAAGTGTACGCGTGCATGCACACACACGTGCATGCACACACACGTGCACACAGGTGCACACAAATACGTACAAAGAAAAAATCCCCCGCATAGCCTTAACAAACTGTAGGGGCAAGTGCTGCTAACAAGCACCTATGAAGGCCAGCACGGCACACGAGGGGGTGGGTGGTCAGCACCACGCCCGGCCGCCCTTGTCTCCCCAGTGCTGATTTTTACACACTGCACCAGGTACTCATTTGAGGCTGAGTCGACCTAGGGGAAGCCCAGGACCAGTTCAGATAATCGTCACTGGTGTTGGCCGTGAGTAAACTATTTGCACAACATAACTCCATGCTATTAACACAACATACTCTCGGGTGGTGACCACCCAACTAACCACGCTACGGCGGAACTAGACACGGTTCCGCTATCCCGGTCCGGACCACAAGCTGGGTCCCGGACCGCGTGGCTGAAGGCTTCTTCAAGCTTGACGTGGATCTCCTGCCTCCCCAACAATAAGAACCCCGTGCCCCTCACAAGGCCCCCCTTATATCGGGCTGGGGCTAGCTCCGCCTCTCGCCCCGCCCACCTTCTCGATCTCTCTCGCCCTTGCCTGAAAGTTCTCAAGAGTTCTTCTTGGACCATGTGACCACCCATTGTCCCCCTCCACCGGTGGCCCCCCTCCAGTATCATCCGGTCACGTGTCCCCAGGTCAGCCAGAGCATCATTCCCCCAATGTAACCCTAGCTGGCTGACACTCTCTCGCTATCTCAACGGGAGCTCGCACCGCACGCTGTGCGTGGTACCACCGTGCTTAACCAGCGCTCACCCAAGCCCCCACTAGGGCTGGTACTACACCCCGTGTCCTGGGGTGTACACACAACAGTATACGCCGTGGCCTCTCATGTCCGGCACCACACAGTGACATTCCCAGTCACTACACATGCACACACATGCCCACACAGGCACAAATACACACACATACTCGCACGATACAAGGAACTCTTGTAAGGCAGAGTCAACCAAGCGGAGGCCAACGAGCGGTACTCATCACTTTCCACTGATGTTAGCCGTGGCCGAAAATCACACCCACGTCACGGTGAGTGTCCTGACCACTGCGCCACCACTCCCCATATGAACCAACACACACACACAAGTAAATGTACAGGCACGCGGGGGATTCTAGTACATGCGCGTGTGGTGTGCGAATGCATGTAAAAAAGTGAGCGTGCGTCCGTGTGGTGCATTTGCCAGTCGTCTCCTTCATTCAACCCATGGCAGCCAGGTCTGTCCCGTGAACTCCTGTCAGCGAACCTTCCGCACTTCCTGGGGCCTCAAAGTGCACCTAGCCTGCTACAAATGCTGTTGTGACGCCACCGCCACTTCATGGCGACTATTGTCGTGTGTCTGTCGATGTATGGGGAGTGATGGTGTGGTGGTTAGCACACCCGGCGACCCAAGTTCGACTTTTGCTCGCGACCAAAAACAATGGCGAATATTTGAACTTGACCTGGGCCTGCCCTTTGTTGGCTCAGCCTGAAATGAGCACCTGGTGCATTGTATACACATCAGCACTGGGGAGACAAAGGTGGCCAAGCGCGGTGCCGGCCAAAACCACCCCTTCACGTGCTCTGCCGGCCTTCAATGGTGCTCGCTAACAGCACTTGCCCCCAACAGCCTGTTAAGGCTATACGGGGGATCTTTGTCTTTGTGTGTCAGTGAAAAGTAACTGTGTGTGTGTGTGTACGTGTGCCTGGTTGTTTTTGCAGACAAGGCTGTTTGTGTTTAATTGCTCAAATTAAATATTCATGGCTAAAATGGAAAAAATTACTCCTCCATAAAGCATGTGCGGGTGTGGGCGTGTGTGTGTGTATGTATGTGCGGATGCATGTGTGCGTGTACTTGGTGTGTGCGTGTGTGCTTGTGCATGTGTGTTCTTGCGTTGTGTGCGCGCGTGTGGGTGCGTTTGTGCTCTCACTTGGTAATATATTTCTGGTAGATGTTTGATTCATCTCCGTTTGGAACTTTCTCCACTGGTAGGCCGTTCCTGACAAAACGACAATGCGCGCGCACACACACAAACACACAGACAGAGGTAGACGTGTTGTGAGCCGGCAAGGAGGAACATTTGTAAGACAGCCCGATCGACAAACAGGTGGAGAGACGGGACAGCGAAAAGAGACAAGCGGAGAGAAAAATTGACAAAAAGTGAAAGTAGCAGATAAGGAAAGAGAAAGGGACGAGACAGAATGATGGGACAGATGAAGAGGAATAGATAGAAACCAATGGATAGACCGACAGAGGGACAGGAGGAAAAACAGACGGAGTAGGGACGTCGGTGAGAGGTGGAGAGAGAGGAGGAGATGTTGGGATAATTGAAAGGAGAGATGCTCGATCGGACGAGAGTCGATGAACAACGGTTTCAATGGGGCGCAAAGACAGCGAGAGGATGGCAGGAGCGGAGGAGGATGAGAAGATATACATTTCAGTAGAGGGCACAAGGAGATAGGAGAGAGAGCGTGGGGAGATAGCAGGAGATAGAGCGAGGGAGGGAAAGTGAGAGAGGTCATATTTTGTCTCGGGTCAAGGCAGGCCAGTGCAATCGATTCAATCACACGTCAGACTAAATCAATCGCACACACGGCACACACAGTTTTAGTCAATAACATAATTTTTTCTCTCCAATTTAAATTTTAATTAATTTATAAAATGGAATTACCTTAGGGACATTCAAAATGTATGCTTTTTTTTTTAAAGGGACCGCGTTTCTGCTTTATTTTTGTGCGCACGCAGGAGCTCGAACCCGTGCATCGCGGGCCCGGTTCGGCAGTAAAGCATGTGACCCAAAGCTCAGCCAATGGGCCGCTCTCCAATTCCCTATGTAAATGGCAGATTTTTTCTTGTGAATTGTAAATCAAGCCTTTGTGGCAGTTCCTGTTGGCAAATAAATGTTGACAAATGCCTTCTCGTTGGAAGCCAAACGACTGTTGAACAAGATGCAAAAATTGTGTGAACAAATAAAAAAAATCACATGGCCATTGCGCACACGCGCAAGCGAATAAACACCGTTTTAGCATCTCTTTTCCAACTTTACGGGGTTCTCTTCTGATGGGTCTTTCTCTGTCATTTATAGATTTGGCCGGTGCGACTGTCGGTGGTTTATAGCCCTTTCGGATGAGTTGGGTGACCTCGCAACTTGGAAACCACGTAACGGTTTGGATGAGAATGCGTAGAGTTCAACGTCGAACGAAACAGCGAAGCTCTTTTGTGCTTAACAACAAAGCAATTGGGAGTCAGCAGAAAAACTTTTGTTTCTTCATTAAGAAATTGCTTCCCAATTAAAGCCAAATTTCCCCTGATAACATTCACAATCATGCCACCCAAGCAAATATTCCAACGTTGACCCAATGTTAGCCCCAACGTTCCAAGTAAATGGAACACCAGGTACACATTTTCGGCTCAGTTGACCTATGGGGTGGTCCAGGCCAGTATTCGAAACCAACAGCCGTAGACGATGCACACAACCAAAAATTGAAACCCGGATGCTGCCGAGGTCACCGATTCCACCACAATTTTCGATACACAGAGAGAAAGGTCACCGCCCGTAGCCATTACCGTTGGTGTCAGTGCTATCAGCGAACCACCGATTAAGTCTGGCACGGCACACGAGGGGGCGGTGTGGCCGGGACAACCTTTGCATTCTCGGTGATGAGGCTTACACACCGCACCGGGAACTCATTTAAGGCTGAGTAGACATAGGGGAGGCCCAGTTCCGGTTCAGATATCTGTCACCAAAAATAGCTGTGAACCAGGGTCGTCAGTTTCATTGTGCAGCACACTTATCACTACACGACTGCTTCCCTGTACACACAAAGACAAAGATCCACCATATAGCCTTCACAGACTGTAGGAGCGAGTGCTGTGAGTAGCACTTATGAAGCCCGACACGGCACTCCAGGGGGTGGGTTGCCAGCAACACGCCCGGCCGTCTTTGTCTCCCGAGTGACGATGTTTACACACCGCATCAGATACTCATTTGAGGCTGAGTCGACGTAGTGGAGGCCCAGGACCAGTTCAGATAATCGCCACTAGTGTTAACCATGAGCGGCAATCGAACTCTGGTCGCCGGGTTCGTAGCACAGCGCAGTAACCGCTAATACTACCGCACCTCACACACACACACAGACACGGATGCGAGTACACACAGACAAGCGCGAATACACACTCACTTGACGGAAGACACCGTGCCGCTCGTGATGGACTCTGCTCGCAGGAATGCAGCCGCCACAGCCGCAGCTTCGAGTCCTCCCCTCTGCCCGCCGCTCGCCAAGTGGCCACCACCACCACCGACGACGCCGCCGCCGCCGCCACCACCACCCGTCAGCAGCTGATGCTGCTGCTCTCCCTTCACCACAACCTCGCTCTTCACCCCAAAGTCGCTCGGGAAAAAGCTTAACATCCTGCCATGCGACAGAGCAATGCAGGTCTTGCCGCTGGCTCCGGGGCTGTACAGGGGAGGTGCCGCCTGTCCCTGTCCCTGCCGCTGCTGCTGGTGCTGGTGCGGGTGGTGATTCTGCAATATGGCGGCCGAGTTGGCGTTGGCGAGCGCGCGGATCTGCGAGATCTTGTCGGCCCCCTTCACGTCGTACTTGGAGGGCCGTCCCACGCGGCCCGTCTTGAAGGCGATGGCGCCCCCGGCCATGAGTGGCGTCGAGCCCCCCCGTGAGCCGGGTCCCCCCGAGCCCTCCTCTCCTGGCCGAAACAGGTGCAGGTACTTGACGTTCTCCAAGTCGTACTTGGAGACTCGCCGGTTGGTTTGGGCGCCGCTGGTGCCGCCGTTGCTCCCAGCGGCAACGTGATTGCAGGTGGCCGCCGCGGCGTTGCTCGAGCTGCCACCGCCGGCGCCGTCGTGGCTCACCCGTGGTAACTTCAGGAGCTGCGGCGCGTGGGACTTGGCGACGCCGAACCCGTCGGAGATCTTGGTGGTGGCGGCGCCGGCGGGGCCTGCGGATGGCGACGTGGCGGTACCCGGCGCCGGCTCGTGCTCCTGCGGGGGGGCAATGCTCTCGCCGGCGCGCAGCTTTCGGATGAAGAAGTCGTACTTGGAGGCGCGGGCGTGAGGAAGCGCGTGCTGCCCGGCCCTCGCGGCAGCGTCGGACAACTCGGCTGTGTCGCAGGCCGGCTGCGCCTCCTCGTACGCCTTGCCGAAGTCCGGCGCTGGCTCCTGCGGCGGGCCGTTGGCGCAGGCCGCGCGAGCGTGGGCGGGGTTGCCGTTGCCATGTGGGTGCTGCTGCTGCGACGGCTGCAGGTGGTGGTGGGGGTGCTGGTGGTGGTGGTGCTGGTGGTTCGCTGCCACGGCCGTGGTTGTGGTCATCACCAGCGAGGGGGAGGAGGGGGTGGAAGAGGAGGACATGATGACGGAGGCCGCTCGCTCCAGCTCGCATCGCGTCCTCGGATCGAGGAGGCCCAGGGCGCCCAGGAGGTCGCTCATTCCTGAAATCACAGGCACCATCACCGCCATCACCACCTCAATCACTACTATCATCACCACAATCATCAACACTGGCATCACCATTACCACTACCACCACCATCACCATCACCACTAGCATCACCACCACCATCTTCATTATCGCCACTACCACCATCATCATTACCACCACCAACATCATCACCAACATTACCACCACCATCACTGATGCCACTTTTGAGTCTTATTTTTAGGATATTTTTTTACAGTGGCTTCGTGGCTTGTGTCCACATTTAAATACTAACCAAGTGCATCATCAGTCTTAAGTTTGTATGACACGTTTGTTAATTTCTTTCACATTCACAGGTAAATATACAGCGTATTTGTGAACTGATAAAACTCTCTGTCACACAAGCTTTAGGTTTTGGCACATCCTTTGCTTAGGCCAAAGACCTCAAGTCTACCACTTGTGGAAGTGAGACAATAACATTTGAGTGCTATTTCCGCTCTCAGAAGCTTTTCACATTCATCGTGCAGTGCTGCAAAGACGCAGATCCCCTATACAGCCATTAACAGACTATTAGGGCAAGTGCTGTTAGCGCGCACATATGAAAGACGGCATGTAACACGAGAGGGTTGGTGGTCTAGAACCACGCCTGGCCGCCTTTGTCTCCCCAATGTTGATGCATTACACACTACACCAGGTACTTATTTTAAGGCTGAGTCAACCTAGAAGAGAGCCAACACCAGTCCAGATATTCGTCACTGGTACTGGCCGTGAGTGGGAATCGAACTCAGGTAGCCGGGTTCGTAGCGCAGCGCGCTAACAGCTACACCACCACTCCCCCACCTGTAGTACAACACTCACGCACGCACGCTCGTGCGTGCTCGTAGACGGCACGCCATTCAAATGTGCCCGTCCGTGCAAGCGTACACACGCGTGCGTGCTCCCATGCACAGGCGCGTGCGTATGCAACGTGTATGCGTGCTCCAACAGAAAAAAATCGAGCCGGCGCCCGTGCGCACGCACACGCGCGCGCGCACTGCGCACGCACACACTTTTTGGCACACGCAATTAATTCCGTGAGATTATATTATGTCGTAAATTCAGAGCCATTCCGTAGAGACCAAAAATAATAACAATAAAACTCTCCCTCCTTCGCTCTCCACGACCATCTCTCGCTCTCTCTCTCTTAGGCTCTCACTCCACTCAATGTCTCTCTCTTTCGGTCTGTGACTCTCCCTCGTTCTTCATTTCTATCTCTCTCTCTCTCTCTCTCCCTGCCTCCTTCATCTACCCTCTCCCATTTTTAACGCTCCCTATGTCTTTCCCTTTCACTCTCTTTCATCCGGAGCATTAGTTACCCCATGTCCTTCCCTTGTCCACATCGTTTCTGTCCCTTCCTGGACCGCATCGCCGTATTTGGCCCTTAACATCGCCACAGATTTTTTTTGTCCTCTTTCTTTCAGCGCTCACTTTTCACCATTTAATCTTCCCGTGTCCAATTAATCACCCCGCTTTAATCTGTCCATCGCATCCCCCACTCCCATATTTTCTCTGCCCTCCAGCATCTTCCTCCCAACCCTCCCCGAATCCTCTTCATTTCTCTTTCTCACCGTACGTAGTTTTTAAAGGCGACATAACCCGGCGGCGTCCAGCTCCGCAAGTGGAATGCAATGGTGGCGAGATGTTAACTACCTCGCCTGGTATACAGGAGGTCGTGGGTTAGATCCAAACCCTGATGCCTGTATATTTAGATCTTGCATGTTCTCTTTCCCCGTGGTCACGTGGATTTTTCTTCGGTCCTCAGGTCTTTTCCCTCCATGTTTCGAATCAACAACACGCATTTAGAGTATTTGGCTGCTATAAATTCCCACACGATAAGCCACTTCATCGAGCTATCTTCTCGGATAGCCAGGTCGCTTCTGAGAAAGAGCTGGACAGCGAAGTGGGCCTTCCATGGTAAATTAAAAAGAGTTCAGAGTTTTTTTCAGTTTTGTTGCCCAGGCAATATTTGCGCACGGTGCTTCACTCCTCGCATGGCAATGGGCGTCCGCGTCCCACGCGTCCCCTTTATCGTTTTCTAACATCGCGGTCGAATTCAATGTCACAAATGTAAATCGCCGATCGAAAATGACGAAAAGCCAAAAGCGCAGGCATCTGCCGTAGCCATGTAAATGTATTTTTCCCCAAATGTAATTGTTTTAGAATTTCCAGCCAATGCTACGATATTGTGGATGAAGAGTTTGTGTCTTCGCACATTTCACACTTTTGGAGTTCTCTGGTCTAACACTGGTGGTGAGACAAGGCCATACAAAAGAAGGCTGCTATCTCTGGTGTAGGCCAATCAGCTTCAAAGACAATGCAAATATTATCAGAGCATGTTCGTTTGCAAGTTTTGCCACGAGCATGTGTGGTTAATGCAGACTTGATGCCTTGCAATAGGCGTCTATTTGGTGTTTGAACATCTTAACACCTCCTGTTTTATTGCCAGAAAGGGTAAAGGGTATTCTTTTTTTCCATTATTTTGACACTATGTTTCTGTTTCAAGATCGCGAGCCAACATTGAAATGCTTTTAAGGGATGTTAACCGCGGCAGTCCTGTGAAGAGAGATAGACTCCCCCTCACAGGAATGTGGAATTTCCACCACCGGCTGAGGGTCACCAATATAAACGATCGCTGTGCCACACCTCAGTAAGCATAAAGACAGACTTCTTACACTCTGCAGCTATTACGACTATGGTCAATAGAAACGTCTCTCCACACTCAAACGAGCAATGGAGCAACATCCATCTCCACTGGTGGAAATTGCAAACTCCTATGGCAGGGACCAGTCCCTCCATAAGTGAACCGTTGCCTCGTAGCAATTGTGGCCCCTGCCAAACGAATGTGGTATATTCACATCTTACTCAACAGGAGTGATGAGTCATCTGGCCAAATAACCGTGAATGAGTCCGAACTTGTCAGATCTTGGAAGCTAAACAGAGGCTGGAGCCTGATTCGTACTTGGATGGGAGAATGACTCGGAGCACCGGGTGTTTCAGGCTTCGTCCGCAAAGTGGCCAGTCAATGAAAGGACAGCAATGGTTTCTTGAATCTATGTGTGCAGAGTTTTGAGCGCTACTTCTCTTGGTATGCATGGGGCTTCTGCCCACATGCCACTGACTCACTAAAGGGGGTGATGTGGCCGGGTAGTGGTGCGTTCGCCGATCATTGCAGAGGTTTGTGGTTTGAAACAAATGGCCGCCCTGGTTAATACTGGTGTGACTCCAATTTGTCAAATGAACCTCATGGCGGGACCCCGGGGTCCCTTAAGCCCCCGGCTCTCGCATAAACTGCGTTGCGACATCATTTTATGTCTGTTGAAGGTGAATGATATGGCAATCTATTCCTCTCGACGAGCTCTACACGATGTGCTAATCAAAGTTTAAAAGTTTTGTTTCTTCTGCGCATTCGTTCTCGCTGCGCTTGGACGACATGACAACAAAATTAATTAATTAATTACGATATTGACTGACGTTTATTCGGGACCCGGGGTCCCACCATAAGGTTCAAATGTAAAATAAAATACTCGAAAATTACTTAATTGGGTAGAAACCACAGAGCATCATCAGGCTGCACAGGCAGACTATATTTATCTGTGAACATAGCAGCTTCATGATAGCCTTGAGATCGCCGCGAATATACCAACCAAACGGAATTATTAGCATTATCAATGGCAATGGACAAACTTTTCAATGAGCAGCACCCTCCTGCCATTTAGAGCATCTGTGCAAAAGAGCCTCATAGCTCCTCCAGTCTAAATACAGATTCTGATTAAAGATTCTGATTATTATTATTACTCCCGAGTCTGTCCCACACTCGTTTGAGCGGGGGAGACATTTGGGACTTGACGCCGTGGAACAAGCACGATCACAACTCTCTCACCGGCTGGGGCCTGCACTTCCAGGAGAGGCCTTTCCTCGGCCGCCCTCGGGGAGTGGGAAGCATCGTCACCGTCCGCGTCGTCGGCGTCCTCTTCATCGGCGACGCCAGTGCGTGGGCCCTGCTGCCCGCCCCCCGAGTCGCCCAGGCCCAGCTCCCCGTTGGCCCAGCGCTCGATGAGCTCCCGGCGCCGCTCGGCACACTGACGGGGGCAACGGGGCAAGGGGGGTGTGAGTGGCGAGTGGCGAACCGCGCGATGATCGTTTGTTTTGTTTCACCAGGGACGAGACCTCGAGTGGCGAGGATGGAGGTCTCACTCGCAAGGGTGGCGGCCTGGGGTCACCACCACGATCGGAAAAGCCATGGTTAACGATGTGAATAGAAACCCGGGCAAAGCAATAGCGTTGCAGGAAGAAAAACATATTAATAAACGGTGCAGGAACATAATCGATATTAAATCAACTACATTACAAGTTCGAAAAGTTAGTTCGGACAAATTACTTTTGAAAACATTCTTAAAAATACGTTTTAGAAACCTGATGAACATCATCATCAGCTGTGCACTGTAAGACACGCAACTGCGTGGCTACGAGGCGGTGCTATGCCCGCAGCCGAGGCCGGGTCACGCGGAGACTTCTGAGTTTGCTTTGCGATGGTTGATGAGCTAAATCGCAGCACTGTGGTAATCTTGCCGTACCACTGTGGTAACCGTGATAATTTGGTAATCAAAGCCATTGCATTACAGTGTGTATTTTGACCGGTTATTTTCCGCAATTAAAAGCTTTCTTCTTTTTAACTTTGATTTAGCTTTACAATTCGTATATCATCACATTTTAAAGTTAGAGCTCATATAACCAGGGTGAATAACAATGTTTGGCATCAGGTATGGGTGGTGGGAAATCACTCTTGGGAAATAATTTAACATACAAAGAGTGGCCCCCTCAAAACTATAATAAAGCCCCGAGTCCCCCTTAAAACTTAACGTGGCACTGAGTACAGTAAGCGGGTGGCACGGGTTCATATACTGGGGTGGCACCAGAAGGAACGCTGGGTAATGGGCGGCAGTGACGGCTCTGGCAGTGGTGGTACAACGCTGGCGAACCAAGCTTTAGAGGTCAGGGTGGTGGATTACACAGATCGAGGTAACTGCTTGCTTTCAAACTCTCTCTTGCACAGATACCGTACAGTGGGCATTGGTGTAACCATCAACTGGATCAGAACATCAACAGGCCTGATGCGCACATCTCCCTCATACGAGTGGAAAATTAAACACTCAAACCACAGCAGTGCAATTGTGGCCAAGCAACCCAAACTATGGACCACATAGTGAATCACTGTAGTCTGTATGTTGAACCTCTTTCGTACCATACATAGCCAACCGTGTTAATCGGAGGTGTGCAGGGGAAGGACAAAAAATTGGAGGCAATAAGCAGTTCTAAAGAAATGAGTTTGCAATTTAGATATAAAAGTGCATAATTCCAGTGGCTTCCTAATATCAGAAGGAAGAGCATTCCAGACGGCCGCAGAAGCGCATCTGGAAGTGCGCGATGAAGTGATCGTCTTTGTTCAATGGTTAGCCAGAAGCCGCTGCTCCTTCAATGGAGGAGGAAAAGCAAGATGACACAAACTGTCTTCTGAAGCCCTCCCCTGGCCAGTAGATCTCGACATTGGCATTTAGCTCCTAAACATATTGCCATATGCAAAAGAAAAGTGGACAGCAGGCATCAATGCAGCAAATAGGTAGCTGACTTATATACGTAAGGATTGGAGAGTGTTGTTCCTTTGACTGAGTGTGCGTGTGGGGTATTCTCTGGCTGTCTCCCCACCACCGTGCAAAACAACTGCGGATTTGGACAAAACGTCACGACCCCCGGACCCTACTCATAAAAGGAGTCCTGAAACTCAGCAAGGCTTTTACCTGGACAAGAGGAAATTATTGCGGCATAGCATGAACTGTCGAACATGCCAACGGAACTGTGAAACGCTTATCGAAAAGTATGAAAACCACAAAGTGGAGTGCGTGTCCATCAGCGAAGGCACAATAACTAAACCTCTATTTTATCCAGCGCCATTCACACAAGGCCTCACAGCACTTTACATAAAATATCCCAACCCTTAACAAACCCTTAATGACTAAAGCAGAATGAAATACTTAACAGATAAAACCCTAAACAAATGAAAAGAAAAATAATAAACACAATGTGAAAGGCACATAGTCTACACAGATGGATACGCAAGTGAAAACATGTTTTCAGATGGGACCTAAAAAACTAAACTGAGAGTTCCTAATGTTCTGGGTAAGAGCGTGATTCCACAGACATGGAGGCGCCTTGGCTGCTGCTGCCGAAGGCTCTATCACCATTGATAGCAATGGCATTTATTTGTTGTTGATATACGATGGCATACTAACAAACCCCCAATAAAAGCGCAACACAAAAATTCAATAGATTTCACTCCACTCTCATCAACTGCAAAGAGAATTATTGCATGAAGGAATTTGAGTCAGACACCCGGTTAACACCCATCCACCGTACCTCCACATCTGCCATCTTTCCATCTCCCTCGTCCCCACTCCCCTCCGCCATCTTGTTTCCAGTGGCCATTTTGTTTTCGTCGCCATCATCATCTTCGCTCGCAGACTGTGACGAGGTTTGGGTCCTTGGCAAAGAGACAGAAATGTGTGAAATGACATTAACAAAAAAATAACAAACATTCACCACTTTCATTCAAAAGTTTTGCTCAAACTATCGATCACTGCTACTGTCAGGTGACGAAGGTACCAATATCTGAGGTACAAAGAGCAAGGGATGTCATAGGAAGAACAATATCTCACATTACCCAAATAGGAATGACTACCTAAAAAAAAGGAATTTGCCTGGAAAAAAGAGGACCTGTGGATATGCTGCAGATAGCTCTGAAGGCTCATCATAATCTATATATATAAAATCGCAAATCTGTCTGTCTGTCTGTGTGTGTGTCTGTGTATCGGACCATACGCAGTTTCATTGGACGAAATGTCAGGGATTTGCGAGACACGATTGGTCCGGCGGTTGCCCCTGGCAACGGGTAGCGACGCATTCGCCGCGGGGTGGATGCCATTTTTAATTCCCGTTAAAAATAGGCGCACGCATTAAATTCATCAAAGTTTCACGTCCTCTTCACTCCCCCCCCCACTACAATGTGTGCAATTACTATTATAGGGTCGGTAGATTATAAAATTATAGCGATTAGACAGTATTATTGTAGCGCGGGGGGGGGGGGGGAACGGCACCCGTACCCAGCCTCAGCCGCCAATTTAGGCGAGGCCGGAGGCTCTGCACGGTACTAGGCCTCGACACCCACCACACGACTCTGAGGTAAATTCATCAAAGTTTCACGTCCTCTTCACTCCCCCACCACCCCAATGTGTGCAATTACTATTATAGGGTCGGTAGATAATTAAATTATAGCGATTAGACAGTATTATTGTAGCGCGGGGGGGGGAGGGGGGGAATGGCACCCGTACCCAGCCTCAGCCGGGTGGGCAATTTAGGCGAGGCCGGAGGCTCTGCACGGTACTAGGCCTCGACACCCCACCACACTATAGGCCGTACATACTACTGCACAGCGGCCGAGGAGATCGTGGCTGGGGGGGGGGGGGGGGGGGGGCAGGGGTAGCAGCCCATCTGTGTATATATGTAAGGTTACTAAGAAATATATTTTTCACCTGGGCAACGCCGGGTACTTATGCTAGTGGCCTATATCAGACTATATTTTAGTCAAATTTTGTTTTTTTCCTCTGAAAATCGACTCCCTTATCGAATCGGAGTTCATGACTGAGTCTTGACTTATGCAATATTTAGAATTGTGCGAATCGTTCTGTACCGAGTTCGAATCCCAGCATGATTAAAATGTCTGTCTCATTTAAAGGACTCTATTGGTACAATAAACACCACTTCAAGTTTAATTTCGTCAAGGCCAATTCCAAGGGCTAAATGACACTCACTGTGTGTGGCCGGGCCGGGCGTGAAGCTTGGCGCAGATGGCATTGAGTTTCAGGCCTCCCTTTCTGCGAGAGGCCATCATGAACGCACTCTCTCCCTTCCTGCACGCACACACGCACACAGCAGTGTCAAAAAAAGTGCTCGTGCCAGGCTAGATTCACTCCATTGCACAGCGTGGGAGTTGCGAAGCTTCGGAGGTTGAGAGGGCACCAGGGGACAGATCCAAGCACTGTTGGGTAAAGTGGTAAAGTTTCAATGACAAGGGTTCATAGGGGCAAAGACCAGGGTTGTGTCACCCTTGAGGTACGAAAAATATGAGCATAACATGGGAAAGTAGAAGAATGTCGCGTGATACCAAAATAGGGGAAACCTAAATTGAGTGGTGGATTATTACACAAATGCCCAAAAAAATGGGGCATTCAATACCCCTGGGAAGACCTCCAGATTTCCTGGGACTGATACCTCAATCCTGGGTAAATCTGGACAGGTGCCAACCGCAGTATAAAGACCCAGGTGGAGTGCGTGTAGTGGTGAAAGCTTAGCGACAGGAAGCATACGAGAGGTGGGCAAGGTGCAGGCAATGCAATACAATTACAATAATAAAATGTGTTGTGAATGTGACCACATGTTAAGACGCTGAACGGAAACAGCGGGCATATTTGTTTTGTAGCTAGAGGCAGTTGGTCATCGGTAGAGAAAAAAAGGAAGGTTTAAACCCACGAATGGAACTAAATTAACCTTTCCCAGCTCTTTCCAGGGTCTGCGAGTTCCTCAGTGTAACCGAGATAAACTCAACTTGGAAAGCAAAGGAGGCTGGTCTGTGTGGGTGTGTTGATGTGTCAACGTGTGTGTGAGTGTTATGGTGTATGGTTATCAGGATCTGAGTCAGTGTGTCAGGTAGTCAGATTCGGTGTCATGGTGTGCGTATATTTCATGCTGTGTCAAGGCATGTGTCGCAGCATGTGTGAGGATGCGTGTCAGATGTGTGTCAGACAGTGTTACAGTAAATGTGTGTATGTCAGTGTATCAGGGTGTGTCGGGCAGGGGAAGCGGTGGCATAGTGGTTAGCGTGCTGCTCTACAAACACAGTGACCCCGTCATTTCTGCTCACAACCAATCATAGTTCCGAATATCTGAACCTGTCCTGGGCTGCCCCAAGGTCGACTCGCCCTTAAATAAGTACCTGGTACTATGTGTGAACATCGCCACTTGGGAGATAAAGGCAGCTGGGCGTGGTGCTGGCCACCCACCCCCTCGTGCGCCATGCCGGCCTTCATAGGTGCTCGCTAACAGCACTTGCCCCAACAGCCCGTGCAGGCTACACAAGGCACCTCGGTCTTTGACATTTTTACCAGGGTGTGTGTCAAGAGTATGGATGCATGTAAATGTCAGTTTCAGGGTGTGTGTCAAGGTGTGTGTGTGTGTGTCAGTGTCTTGTGTGTGCGTGTCAGCGTGTGTGTGGCGTGTGTCAGTGTCATGGTGTGTGTGTGTGTGTCAGCGATGTGCGCGGGCGTAATGAATAAATGAGTCCACGCCGCAATAAATGACCTCACTTTGCCCAGGTTTCCATGGAAACTAAGCTCATTCTCAAAAATTTCATTATGGGACATCGATTGGGAGCGCGAGCGAGGATGGCGAGGGGGGAGGGAGCGCGCGGGGAGAGCGAGCGCGGGTGTCTGGTAATGCTTTAATTGTTGTTTCTCACCCATGTCAAAGTAACCCCAACCCTCACCCCCCCGAGGAGAAGAGAGACGTGCGAGCGAGTGAGCAACCGTGTTCGGGGCGTCTGCGTGTCACGGCGGGCTGGGGAGTGGCGGCGCAGCGGCGGTTCATGCGCCGTCGCTGTGCTCTGACCTTGGCGACCTTTAGTTCGATTCCAAGCCCCGTTGTATGTCCGCATGTTGAAGTTCTTTCGCACAGTTGTCCGTGAACCTGAGAGTGGTCCGTTCACGGACGCCGGTTTGGCGAGCGCTATCTGATCTCGTCTCGGGGCCTCGATTGGGTTCGACTTGGCCTTCAAATGGCTACGCGATGTGGTGTACGGGTGAACATCCGCACTGGGGATACAAAGATGGCCGTGTATGGTCCTGGTTACGCCGCCACCTCACGCACTGGCACTGACCTTAATGCGTGCTTGCTAACAGCACTTGTGCAAGTGTAAACGAGAGTTTACACAAATCCACAAATCTGTCTGCTGCCTGATGATGCCGGTTGTAATAACTGGCGACACGTCCTAAATGTTGTGGAGTTTCTCTCCAACACACCGGTGTGCTGTACTAGTAACGAATCGCCATGTTCTGTTTACGTGACAAACATTACTACTGGCTGTGTCCGGTGGTGGTGGGTTTAACGACACATATTTACGCGATCTAACCCAAAAAAAACTGTATTATGGATGATATTGGTCGCAAAAGTCTACTACGTGTTAAACTAAACGAGAGTGTATGTCAAATTGTTAATGTGTGTGTGCGTGAAACTGTGTGTTGCGCTACGAACCCGCCGACCCGAGTTCGATTCCTGATAAAGGCCAACACCAGTGACGATTATCTGAGCGGTCCTGGGCCTCCGCTAGGTCGACTCAACCTCAAATGAGTATCTCGAGCGGTGTGTAAACATCACCACTGGGGAGACAAAGGCGGCCGGGCGTGGTGCTGGTAACCCACCCCTTGGTGTGCCGTACCAGCATTTCATAGTTGCTCGCGAACAGCATTTGCCCCTACAGTCTATTAAGGATACACAGGCGATCTCTGTCTTTGTCTTTATGGGTGTTCTCTGTGTCTGTATACAGGAATATAGGGTGGGGGGGGGGGCGGTGGCATTGGTCTGCACTGCGACCCGAGTTCGATTCCTGGCCACAGCTATCTAAACCGGTGCTCCCTCCCTCTCCCCCAAACCCCCCCTATTTCACAAACCCACATTAACCATGGCGGTGAAGTATCGTTTAACAACACTTATTACTGACACGAGAGTGAGGTTATAATTCGCAAGTCAATTGACTAAGGGCTGACAATTATTCCGTTATTATTATTATGGGTATAAGTGTGTTTATGAGTGTGCGTGTTTTGAATGTGCATGTGTGTACGTTGGTTGCGTGGATGTGAATGCGTGAAGTGGCATTAGGTGAGCGTGAATGTTTGGTTACGTGCGTGTGATGCCGAACGATTTCATATTCCTGCACAAATCGTGATTTTTTTTTCCATTGGATGATTCCCAGGTTCAATTCTCCATTCGTGTGAATGGGTTTCTGACGTGTATTCTGCTTGGGAAGGATTCACGCAATGGAATGTGATTCTACTCGCAGTCAACATGTGAACGTTGGACCAACGTCAGCATGTGGTTGGACCAACGTCACATGTTTACTTGTTATTTTGTGATGCGAACCTAGCCCATCCAATGCTTAGCTTAGCTAGCTAAGCATTGCCAAGTTCACGGTGGCAAATCAGATTCCAAGTGGCCAGAATCGCCATTGCAATGCATGGCTAATTTGTTCTATTTATTTTTGCCAGGTACGGCCCACTGAGCTATATAGCTCTTTTTCAGAAGCGACCTGGCAACAAATGATAGCTCAACGAAGTGGCTTATCGCGTGGAAATGTATAGCCGCCAAATTACTCTAAACGCACGTTGATTATAAATGTGGAGGGGAAAACCGAAGGACCCAGATAAAACAAATCCACACGTCAACAGGGAGAGAGACACGCAAATTACAAATACACAGCAGGCGTCAGGGTCGGGATCGAACCCACGACCTCCTGTATACCAGCCGAGGTAGTTAACATCTCCTAGCCACCGTGGCGCCAATGCCGAGTGCACACAGAATGGACCTTATTCCACCTCTGTTCCCATGTGGCATTCAGGCACGAAGGGAGGGCACACGGGACTTGGACGGCCTCGTGTACAGCCAAAGCATGTAGCTGTCCATGCAGGTGTCTTTGTATTCGTGTATTTGGCGTGCGTATGTATTACGTGTACTTTATTAGGTGTGTGTGGGGAACGGTAGTGCAGTGGTTAGCACACGGCACTAAGAACCCGGCGACCCAAGTTAATTCCAGCCTTCATAGGTGCTCACTAACAGCACTTGACCCAACAGTCTGTTAAAGGCTATACATACGGGAGATCTTTGTATTTGTCTGTGTGCTTGGTATGTGTATGAAGTATGTATATTATACGTGAGTGTATTAGGCATGTGTATATTAGTTGTTTGTGTGTATGTATAAGCATGTGTATATATGTGTGTATTCAGATACGTGTACTGCATGTAGAGCTATATTAATGTGTTCAGCGTGTGTACGAGTATTAGTGGTGTATATGGGTGTATCACTTATTGTGTGTGCGCGTCTTTATGTGTATGCACGTGTACGCGTGCATGCACACATTAATGCACGTACATATGTGTGCGTCAGAGCATTAGGTGTGTGCGCTGCATGTATATATATTTTAATGTGCGTGCGTGTGCGTGTGTGCGTGCGCGCGATCTCGGTGTGTGCCGCATGCCCGCGCGGTAATTTCCGATAAAAGCCGCCCGCTTTCACCAAAATCAATATTTTTCGCTAAAACGCCCTGGAATGACGCTGACGTGGGGGGTATTATTTATTAAGCTGCGCATCACCCCTCCCCTCCCCCTGCCGTCCACCCAACCCCTCCGTCCACCCATCCGTCGGCGCACGGCACCCTTCATCCCCGACCTCGCGGCCTTCGTTTAACCACGTGTGGGCCCCCCCTCCTCTGCCACCCTTCGTACCTGCGGGGACATAGGAACACTCTGGATGATTGCCGTAATGACTTTACACATCCTGGCGGACGCCGAGTGCGGAGGTCTAACGCTGCTGCGGCGTACTGGCTGTCTCTCCGACGCCGTTATCAGCCCGTAGTCGCTGTTGCTCGTTAGCTGTCCAATGGCACGCTTAAATAATTGCTATTGTTACGGCTTATGTAGCGTTTTTTTCATCCTAAATTCTGGGGGCGTTTTACATCAATAACAGTAGGGGGGGGGGTAAGAATTTAAAACGGCAAATTAAGTTAAAATAGGAAATTCCTTTTGAAAGGGAAATGTGTTTTTTTAAGACGGTGACGTGAAGATCCCAACCGAACCGGACTCCCCC